TTTAATAATGATACCTTATTAAAAAGATAATTTTCAGGTTGCTTATTAAGCCCAAACAATGGTGGTCGATTTCTAACAACTGATGAACAATGCAAATTTTTCTCAACAATTATTAAAATTTAACATTATAAAATTAAAAAAATAATATAAAACTCATTTCCTGGCAAAATAGTCAAATGCCGCCAAAACCCATATATTTTCTTCCCGTTCTCCTGGTATTCCTTAACTTATAGAGCATTCTTTAAAAAAATTGGAACTTTTCTAAAACATTGCAGGATGCGAGACAAATTTTAAAAAGTCGGGACTGTCCCATCAAAAGCAGGACATCTAGTCACCTTGTGCTAAGGGTACGACTCCGAACAAACCAGCAAATAAGTTAGTGGAAATCTCCCTGCCCAACAAATGTATGCCAAGTAAAGTCAAACGTCAAGATAATGTGTATTTGTTTCTTTGATTGCAGAGGTGTTTTGTGGTCTGAGTTTGTTCCTCAAGGCCTAATGGTTAATCAGCAATTTTACTTGAGGGTATTGAAGAGATTGAGTATAATGAAGAAGACTTTATCTTTCTAGAACAATTAGTTAATATTATTGCTTACTTAGAATTTCCAACTTATAATATTTATATGATTTAATTCTAATACTGCTCAATAGGCACACTAAGTCTATTTTTTGTTTTAAAAAGATTAATTTTATGTGAATGTGAAATGGAATAATGAATTTAAAGAAATAATTTACCATTAAAAATTTTTAAAAATGAAAAAATAAATAAATGGTTGGACCTGTCTAAATGACTAGACCTTGTTGAACCAGACCAGTTATATCTAACTCGAAAACAACTACTAAATGGATTCATAAATTTAAATATTTAATATTTGTAACATGGTTTTAATACCAAACAAGAAAATCTTATAATGAAATGTAATAAAATAATTAAATATATCATAATAATAATCGAGAGTAAGTCGTAAATATTAGTGGCCTCATAATATCACTTAACCGAGGGTGAACTAATTAAATCTTTAAAACTTAAGTAAAGCAAAACCAATTTTTTTTCCTATAGTGAAAAAAAAATTGTAAATTTCATCAGGTTTAAAATACTTAAAAATGGAGTTGTATCATTTCATAAAATTCAAACTACTTGAGGGAAGGGAATGAAAAAAACTTGTCAACCAGTAATTTAAAATTAAATAAAAATAAGATGTTAAAAGTTAATTAATTGAGAACTAAAATGATTCGGCAGAAAGTTGGGTACTTCTAGGGATTTATCTTGAATAATATATTAATGATATTAGTAAAAGACTTGAAAGTTATAGATGTAAGAATAAAGCAAATTACACTGTTTTATATTGGTACTATTTTAATAGTTGGTAGACAAGGTGCAGAAAAAAGAAAAGAAAAAAAAAAAAACATGCAAAATCAATCACCATTACTTGAATATGCTTCATGCCAAATCACTCAAAACCAATAAGGCATAATTTACTTTACCGAATGGCGGTGAAAGCCAAAGTCAAAAATATATTCGGACGATGAGAAGTATCAAGCCCCAAAGGCAGCTCGTGACTCCAATAAACAGTGGCACCTTGTCTATAAGAAAACATCTACCATGCAACGATACACTCGAATGATACGATAGGAATAGCAAAAAAAGAAGTAATTCATTCTGGCTAAAAATGCTAACAATTTAATCAAATCACACACAAAAAGAGAATAAATATTATAATAATATAGTTCATTCCATACCAAAAGAAGTAAAATAATAAAATTCATAAAAAATTGAATAATTTTAATATGTTAACTTGAATTGAAGCTGAAATCATAGATATCTCATTAAAAAAGAATATATATAAATAATAATAAAAAAATTAAAAATAAATAAATGAACTAAAAGTTTATTACTTTCGTTTATTTTCAGATATAATAAATAAATACTATAAAATATATATCTTTAAAACAGTATAACTTTTTTAATTGATCATGCAAAGCTGTTAAAAATTAATGCAGCAGGAAATAGTAAATCAAAAACATAGGATACTGACTAGAATGCTTTAATGTCAAATTTATGCTTACATGCATTAAGTACTTAAGGCAAGAATAACCTAATAACAAAATTATGTAAAATTATAAATATAACTCGACACATTTTTACCTGAAATCACAAATCCATGCACATAAAAGAAAATAAATAGAAAATAAAGGAACACATGCACATAAGAAGGGCTCTACTACTAATCTACCTTGTAACTATCGTATTTAACTAACAGTTTCTAAAAAACATGCCTGTGACCTACATAATATATACTTCAGAAGTTATTATTATCATTATTATTGTGGAGTTGCCAACATAAAAAATAGTTAACATAAATGAGTGTCAATACATTTATACAGAAAATACCGTCAAATAAATGAGAAGTGGGAAGAAGGTAAAAAGACAGACAAATGCATTTGAACAATAAATGAACGAATAAACAATGCTTTTGCAGTTACAGCTGCACAAATTTGTTCCAATAACAATGACTGGATTTAATAATTTATTTTCTTAATATATAAATAAGTGTGTTTTAAGTTAAATTTATTATTTTAAAACAAACTTATCACATTATATTCAGCTTATTACATCATTATATTTTCGACATAAGACTTTAAAATAACCCTAACTCAAAATTACAGCACCTTCCTTACTGAAAAGTTAAAGAAAAAGAAATCTATATTCTAACAATGCATCTTTTTGTACTCTTAATGCATGGTTGTTTTTCAACCCTAACTTAATGAAATAATAGTTTAAGATGCATATTATGGAATAGTTATTTTGATAGAATTAATTAAGAATTGTGTCGTTTTAAAAAAGAAGTTTTTTCAATAGCAAGAACTTCTATTTCAATTACTTTCAAGAGAAAATTTTCATTAAAAAAAAATCAGATCTTTACTCACCATAATAATTTTTTTCATTTCTTTAAGGATAAAATTATCAATTTCTTACTTATCTTCTGTATATTTTTTCTCCTTTCTTTTAACGATGAAAATTTTAATAAAAAAATCAAGTAGCACCCAGTTTATTCAAACTTGTATTTTACTAATAAGGATCTTTAACAAGGGAAAAAATGAAACAGAAATTTAATACCTAATACCTGCTAGTTCTTTAAAATTGATAGGAGAATTCTAAGGAAAATAAGAAAATGAATGAGAATAGAAAGATGGCCACATGCTAGAGGAAATGAGGAATGCAAAGAAAGTAAACAAATCTAAAATAACATAACAATTAAGTATGTTTGTAAAGTCAAAGAAGTTGATAGCACTTGCAATAAAGTTTATTTTTAATGTTGAAGTTTACATCACTTCTGAAGTAATGAAAATACTTTTGATGCTTAGTGATAACCTATCCAGCAAGAAGAAAAATATGATAATGATCCTCGATTTCTATTTAATTGTTGAATCCACTAAACTACTCGTATATTTATTTCCTATTTTATATTTAAAACTAATGCATAGATAAGTATATAATTCAATTTTTTAAATTGAATAATGTTTGATAAATTGCTGTAAACAACATAAAAATTCTTCTGACAGCTATAAAAGTAACTTAATATTTTTATTCATGGATTAAATAACCAATAATATTAGTTCTAAATTAATAATTGTTGATGAAGTAAAATATTATTTCACTCCATTGAGATTATTGTATAACTCTCGAGTTTAACTTATTTAAGATATGTTTAAAAATAGTTTTGCACCGAATATAAATATAACTTCTTTCTAGCATCATGATAATGGACATTATTCAAAGATACGGATTTACTTCTTCTAGCATAACTGAAGCAGCAAAATAGGTAATATTCATGATTACTTGATGGTCCATTTATTTAAACTTTACTAATGAGCTATCCATTTAACATAAATAAATAAATATATATCAAGACAATGAAATGCTAATGTAGAAACATTGTTCATATTACATTTGATTAATGAATGGACTCTGTCTATTACAGGTAAAAAAGTGTCAACAGTTGTTTTGTTTTTTATTTTGCCTACTGTCTATTATTTAAGCAATATCACTAATCAGAATTTTGAATTGTTTTTATAATTTAATTGAAATGGAAAATAAAGTAAGATAAATCCTTTGGCTCCTTTTAAAGAGGGCCCAATAAAAATTATTGTCAATTTTCTTGCTTGAGTGAACAATTTATTTTAAAATGTCTGTAATGAGTACCACTTTCCCTACTATGGATTACAAATCCTATTCATTCCAAATCAACTGAGTATCTTCAAACAATAGTAAAAGATTTATTATCTTTATTTAAAAAAAAAATAATAATAAAAAATACTTTGTAATATCCAGTATAGATCTTTTATTAAAGACAATCTAATTAATTAAAGCGAGGTCGTAATTATTACCCCTAATTTAATGAAGAATAATTAAACACAAATGTATTTTAAGGAGTTCATAAAAAATAATCAATAAATAAATAAGGATGATTAAAAAAATAAATAAATAAATGAGAATAATGAAATGTAAAAAATAAGATTTCAAAACTAATTTGCTTTAAGAATCGATAAATTTTGAAAGCAAAATACTAATTTACTCTTTTTTAAAAATTAAATATTAACTAACAACAAACTTAACACTACAAATTATCTAACTCTAATAACTAATAAAAGTGGGGTTAACATCACAGACAAAAGATATCAATAAGTTATCAAGTCATTGGTAATAACAATAAATTAAAGATTTTAACGCAAATAAGAATAATAGTGATTTTTTAGTTGTCTAGTTACATTCTGCTCACTTCTCTTACAAAAACAGAATAGTAACAGCAATGAAGAACAAAAATTATGTCTTTGTTAAACATACGACTTTACAATAATAATTACAAAGTTCCACCATCATTTATAGTTCAAAGTTGACCGTTTAAAGTGATAAACGATGAATCAAACCATTGAAGCGGAACCGAAAGAAGCATGTAGTGTGATGAGAAGTGTGGATCAAACTATTAGGAACAAACTTACATCCATCTCCAGAGTCTATTCTTCCTTGAAGTTCTTTTATTTGCATTTCTTTCCTCTTTAGCTCATGAGAAAGACTTTCGTATCTTGCACGGAAATCACGCATCTCTCTGAAAAACAAAAGAAATTAATATTTAGCAGTCAACTCGAAAATTCAGGTTAAAAATCAATAATCCTTTTACACGATATTCACTAATAACACGGTCCTGAACTTTAATCACATGTTACGGATAACCAATCTTAATATATATTGTAAAAGTAAAAATTATCAATGAAAAACTGTCTGTTGAATGTTGGAAAAAATAAACTTCAATTACAGAGTGAAAAATATCTGTGTTAGGGTTTAAATAAAAATATTTGAAAATTTAAAAAAACTGATTTTAAAATAGAGAATCACTTTCTGTCATCGTCAATCACCTAGTAGTTGATGCTAGGCTAAGGAGCTTCAGAAAAATCACCTCTGGGTGTGAGTTCGATGAGGAAAATAGTATGTTAAACTAAGTTGGATCTGTGACACTGTGATATGCACTGAAGTGTTTAAACACAGTCAGAAAACAGCAAAGGATAGTTAAGTATGAGTTTCAAAAAGTAAAGATTTTAACTTAATTTCTAACATATCAATGCAAGCATTTTCCAAGTGCATGGGCAGGAAGAAATAAAAACAGTAATCAATAAAAAAATATCTCTTCAGAAGTGGAAGCAGGATTGAGAATGTGAAAGAAATATTTTAAATATGAATTAATGCATTTATTGATTTTGCTATGTCTGAAAACTTCTAACAAATTGAAATTATGTTTGTTTTGAATGAAGATACATATGACAGCATCAGTATAATCCAGCAAGTTTATCTATGTCCACCAGGATTCTTTAATACAAAAACTTTATTAGTCCAGGCAAGGAATGAGGTATAGAGTGAGTGAGCCGGGAGCAATTCCTTCAAAACTTGTTCAGGGTGCTTAGGATGTGAACATATCAAAAGTCCTGACCTCTAGGTGGTGAGCCAGGTGAGGAGGGGGTCACAATTTTCAGGTTCCCGTCTTTGTCTCAAAAACGGTGAGTCGCAGGGGAACATTGTTCAGTAATAAGTGAAAGTTCATAAAATTATCTAAAATTTTTATTCGATAAGTTTTCCCGAATTCTCAACAGTTTTCAATGTTACACACTCAGAAAAAGTTGACATATTCAAAAAATAAAAAACATTTTACCTCAAACTTTCCTTCATATCGTCTAAGCTATATCAGCGAAAAAAGTTAAATTCTTTATTAGAATTTATATATATATGAAAATTAATCTCCAACCAGTCTACAGTGACAGATATTTAAAATTTTGTTGTAAAATGTTCCTCATTTTCAGGAAAAGTTGTTTTTATCATGTTCTTGACCCACAACTTTTGTTTGTTTGACTGATAATATGTGTGGCCATATTTTAAATCCAATTATTAAATAAAGTAAAAAAAAATAATGTTACTAGAAAAAATTAATATTCAAGAATATGATAAAAACAACTTCTTCTGATAAAACATATTTATAAAAAACATTTTATGAAAAAGTTTAAAATAGCTGTATCTGAAAACGGATTTGAAATTTGTATATGTATATATATTCTAATAGGTAATTTAAGTGAAACAACCTCTTTTGCTGGTGCATAGCTTAGACAATATGAAGGAAAGTTTGATGAAAAATATGAGGTAACATGGATTTTTTTTTTTTCAAAAATGTTAACTTTTTTTGTGATGTAGCTCCAATACAGTAGAAAATTCGGGAAAAACCTATAGAATAAAAGTTTTAGATAATTTTATCAACTTTCACTTATTATAAGGCAGTCTTCTCCTGCACCACACCGTTTTTGATACAAGCGGAAACATGAAAATTGTGACCTTTCCTTTTCCCTCCCCCCATCTCACCACCCTAGACATCAAGACTTATATTTTAAGTCACTATAGTCTATAATCACTATAGCCTAGTGGAACACAGAATATAGACTTAATTAAAAGTCCTTGATGAACTCTTTTAGGTCCACAAGAGAAAGACTTTATACAGCGTATGTGGAGAGATTTGGCGCTAATACTAAAATTAAAGCTTCAATGAAGAACATATTATTACATTAATTTTATTGTATGAGATTAAGTTGTACAGGTCATTATATAGCAAGAATGGATTTACATGAATTTTCCATAAATTTTTTTTTAGTGATATGGACAATGGAAAATTAAAGTTTATTTTCAAAACAAGTGACCTATATAGATTAGATAGGGAAGAACGTGCACCCAAAGAAAACAGAAAATCTATTTACTTACAACCATCAACAAGTAATGGATGGTATCAGTATAAGACTAAAAAGGCTAGTAAAAACTGACAGAAGGCTCAGAAATGGGATATGAAACTAAATTTATAATAATAAAAAAACTACAGATTAGAAACAACAGAACAAAATAATATTGAATATACATACTTTTGTGAAGCTATCAAATCAGATCTAGTTTTACTAAGTTCTTCACTGATCGCAGTCTTAGCTTGTATTTCAGACTGGAGACTACTTTGAAGATTCAACAGTTCCATCTTTTCAAGTTTCTGACTTCTCCTATTACGCCAATTCTTATCCTATTGATAGATGTTATAGTAAATTTACATTCAGAAAATACAAAACAAAGTTACCAATTTTACAAAAATGATTTAATTTACTTACAGAATTAGCAACATTTCCAGTACCAGAATGTTTCAAGAATTCTAACTCTTCAGTCATCTTAGTAGCCAAAGCTTGTAAATAGCCTCGAGCATCTTTCTCATCGTTCACCCTGTAAAATAAAAATTTAATTAAATATTAAATTAATTAATGACTTGGAATAAAAATAGTTTTATAAGCATAAAAAAAAATTACGGCTGCATAAAAATGGTTAAGTTTAATAAGTAATAATAACCCTCAGTTTATTGAATAACATAAATGGACAAAGTATTTCAAATTGATAAATTTAGATTTTTCCCATTTTGGTTATGGTAAACACAGTATTCAAATGGAGTATTCTCAAAATTTGAGAAGAAATATCTCATATGTGATAAACTGGTGTAATCTTGTAATATAGTAGAACAATTAAAGCAGTAACTTTATATGTATTGAAAAAAAAAAAAAAAACTACATTTTCCATATAAAGAATACAGAATTTTCTTTATCACTTTCACTGTTATACTTCACATTAATATATTTCCACACTCCTATTCAATCTTTTCTCATTCTTGGCTTCTTAAAAATGAGTTTACACTGAAATCTTACCAGTAACAATGCTATTAACAATGTTTCAAGCAAAAATGTCAACACCAAAACATTTTTAACATCACTGTAGCCATATTTTCTACTTTAGTACAAGGTAGAATTTTTAACATGTGAAGACTGAACATCAATAATGGGCTAAATGAAAAGAAAATTGCTATGTTGAGAAAAACAAGTTAAACATTACTGTGAAAAACTTACAAAGTGGGCTAAATTCCATAATCATTAATAAATCCAATCAATATTAATGATTGTGGCATTAACCCCTTTTGCTTTTCAGGGTCTAATCATTTTTTTTTTTATTTTGTTAAATCTGTTTTTAATATCCAGTCATTGTATATTGGATGTAAAATACTGGTTTAAAGTTAAACTATATCAAGAATATTTTATTAAATCAAGCATAATTCTTCTAATTGTTAATCCTTTACATTATTGTCAAGTTTTTATTATGTTATGTATTATTATATTTTTATTACGTTGTTTTGTTTATTATTAATTATAGTTTAAGAATATGATTTTACCAAATTAATTTATGGCTTACAATACATTTTTATTGAATAAACATATCCAATGATTTATTTCTAAAATCTTGTAAGTTCATAAAAACAAATTTTACATAAGAAAAAAATATATGCTATTAAAGGAAAATGAGAATTTTTAGTTATTTGGCAATAATAACTTCCAATTGGTAACAATTGAGCATATTTCTATTATCAACGTTACATGTTAACAAGTTAGTTTACGTTTCGGTATTTGATACATTTCATCTAGATGATACATTTTATAACATGAATAAGAAATTTGACGATGGGGCACATTATTATTAATTATAAGCCTTGCATCCACAAGATTATAGGGATTGCAGTTCCGAAGATGGGAGTTAATATCCCGAAACGTAAACTAACTTGTTAACATGTAATGTTGACAATAGAAATATACTCAATTGTTACCAATTGGAAGTTATTATTGCCAAATAACTAAAAATAAATAGACAACTTCCCAGAAAAAAAAAAAATGAGAATAATTATTTAGTTTCTCTAGTATTTTGAAATACCCATTATTTATAGAAAATATAACACCATATATTGTGAGTATTACATTAAATGAGTGAGCATAAGGTATTCACAAGACATTATGGAGGATGTGAATTGTACTAAAAGTATATTTAAAATACGGGATTGATATTAAGCTGTATGGCACTATCGAGCCAGTTTATTAGCAAAAGTAATAAATATTATTGTATAAATAAATTTAAAAAATTATCTTTTAATGGTTATCCTTGCATTTTGCATTGAAAATTCTGTTAATAACCAATTTAGAATAGAAAAGACACATTGAGCAGCCATTAAGTAGTGAACATATATTTATTTCCATTTAATGTGTTTTATTGAACGTTTTGGCTATTTAAACAGTATTAAGGATTAAGTAATTGATATAAGTATCATAACTAATTTCCTAAAAGTATAATCAAATCTATTCTTGCTGTAGTAGGAAGGTCGAGATTCATTCTGCGACAAAATAAATTTCATCCTGTTTACCTAATTTAATGCTGCACAGAATACTTATCACGGAAAATTCCCTTTATTTACATTCTGAAATAAAATTAAAAAGTCTTCTTCCCATTACTAAATATCCAAAAATCTAGAATGGGTAGATTTTTTGTTCTATTAATTTTTAATAAAATAGCAAAATTAATATTGTCCAAGTTTGACAATGTATAAACTCTACAAATACTATTGTTTACTGCATACTACTTTCAATAAATGGTTTGAGTTCTTTTTTTGATTTAAAAATTGATTTTTACAATCTATTCTTTAGAAAATTAAGATCTTCAGATTCGGGCCCTAGTCATTAGCAAGGACATCTCAGGTGTAAGCACAGGTGAACACGTTCTAAAATCATTCCTTTTCAGAAGAATTACATTTTTAGGATACTTATAAAAAAATAATTTTTTTTACACATTATTGGGGACGCAAACAAGCAGATGAATCAGTTCCTGCTAATCGTATAAAACAAAGCACAATAGTATCTGTAAAATTCTAATTGTATAGACAGAAAATGAAAAGCTACTAGATGAAGTGCTAAGAACAAAAAGTTGATTGCCAGAAAAAATAATTGATTTGAAAAAAAATCCTACTAAGTCAACAGTAATAGATAAAATTACTAAAATTAAATGATAAATATAATAATATCCAACTAACCATTGAATAATTTCTGAAATTTGCGCTTCCCATTGAGCAATTGCTTCTTTCTTATTCCTTAGCTCTTCATATTCTTCATCTTGTAGTCTCTTTTCAGCTTGAAGCCGAGCTAAGCTATCACTCAACTAAAATAAAAAAATAAAATAAAATTTCAACTTACAATGTATCTAAAAACAGAAAAAATAAGAAGAAGAATTATAAATTCCATCAGAAAAATTAATTTTACCGTGTCTAATTCTAAACCAAGTTTTTTATTATCTTCAATAAGTAGTATTTTTTCTCTATCATATCTTCTGGTTAATTCAGATATTGCTTCTTCACTATCTGTCATATTTTCTAGCCTACTCGAGTCTAATTTTTCCTTAGCAATTTCAACCTAATCGGAATGAATAATGAATTCTCATAATTATAAATGATTAAGACAAATAAAGAAAATATTCAGATAAAATCAGAACCTCTCTCTGTAGGTGATCTCTTGTAGCTTCTGCTTCCTGAAGTTGTTCCCTCAAAGCAGACAGCTCATTAGAGAACCTAGCTTGCTGTTGAGCCAAACTTTCTTTGTATTGAACCTCAAGTCTTTCTACTTCAGATTTAAGTCTGAGACAAATAAACATGGTTGACTGTTGAATGTTTACAACAAAATAATAAAATAGAAAAATATCGAAACAGAAATGAATCCAACCTGCTAATCTCTTGAGTAGAAATTTGAGTTTGAGATGAAGGTAATACTTCTCCTAAGTCTTTTCTTTGCGATCTCCACCTTTCTGTTTCTGACTCCAGTTGCCTAAAAATTAAGATAATTTAAAAAAAATAGTAAAATCCAAATTTCTTTCTTTCATCTCTCCATTTAACTTGACCCCTTGGCTGTGGTACAAAATATAATTGATTTATTTACTACATAATTGGTATACAGTACAACTCCAATAACTCGTAATGCCCATGGACCAAAGGTTTATAACATATTATTGAGATTTTCAAAATAGCTAGGTAATCAACCATTGATTGTTAAAAAAAAAAAAGGAAAAATTTGGACTTACAAGTTTTAAATTAAAATTCCATATATGTGAAATACAAAAACAAATGTTTAATGAAAAATCCAGCGATGATCTCCTTTTTTACAATAGACAAATAAATAACAACTTTTTCTTAATCAGCTATCATTTTCAACTAGTTTCTGTTACAAATCATCAATTAAAATAATATTAAAGGTTTATTTTGGCTAAAATGATGAAAATAAATTTACATAATTATCAAACAGACTTCATACTATTTCATAAAAATATGTTAATTAGCCAATTCTACTATATAGTTCACATATAACTATAATTCATACCTGCAATATTCTTCACTTCTTTCCCTTAATTTCCTCTCTTTTGATGTTTCAGCAATAGCATCTTCAACTCTTGCTTCTAATTCTCTCCTCAATTTCTCAGCTCTTCGAAGGTCTTGTCTTAATGAATCTACTTTTTGCATAGCTACTTCCAATTCTTCTTCCTTATCTCTTACTTGGCGTGACATTTTAGTCTTTTGGACTCTCAATTCTTGTAGCCTAAGAAGTGAAATTATAATAAAATAAATAATTCGGAAATAGTTTGGAAATTTCAGTAAATCATGATCAGCAAATCAAGGGAATGATGGTAAGGAATCTGCCAAGATGTTATTAAACACAAATTATAGTGTTTTATTCATTAAATCGATATTTTTACAACCAATTAAGGACTTTATCAGGACTACATACAAACGACATTAGAAAACAGGAGAAATACAAATTACTGTAAATTGTAATAAATATAATATGCTATAGAAATGTGCATGGAAGGACAGTGCAATAATCATAAAAAGAAGGGGATATGTTAAAGTTAAGATTAAAGAAAAGTTATTAAAAAATAAAAGCAATAAAATAACTAGTAAATAAAAATGACACAAAAAACATAAAGACTATCTAAGATAATTGTGTACAATTTACTAAGAGCAACAATGTAATGTGTAAGGGGTGGGAGTAACAATGAGACAGATAGAAAACATATATAAAAAAAAAAAAAAAACTTAATATGTATAAAAATAAAAACATGTAAATATGTATAAAAATATGATTTTTCAAGACAAATTGTATTTTTAATTCCTTAAAAAAAATTCTTTAACTAACTCATCATAAATAACATATTTCCTTCACCTTTTAGTGAATTTTCCACAAGTTGATCATAAATGTAAGTATTCTTTCTTTTACTTTTTATCACTGACATCCATGAAACTAACTGCTGTAAATATTAATTTATAGAAGGACCCTTATGACTATTAAACATATTATGTAACTGAATGTAGTTTATACAGTATAATTTTTTTTTTATTATTGTTAGTGTTTATTTAGCTTATTAATTATTACAAATCAAATTTCATGTCTGAAGAGGCTAAATAATTTGTTAAATAAAATAAAATTTGAGCTTAACCAAACATTTTAATTAATTATTCTAAAAGTGAAAATTATAATTGTATAATCATTATTATACTTTTTAAAATAATAAGTTGCTTTAGAAAACTCTGTTGTAACAAACCAGGGATTATTCTAAAGACTAACTTTTAATGAGTGATGATAAACCATATATAGTTTTTTATCATTTTATTCGTTTAACAGGAATAATTAATAACACTAAATAAAAAAATTGAAATTGTTGCATCTTCCCACAACCATCATCTCATGTTGCTGACAACCGACATACAAAACCCATAGCTGTCATACAAATATAAATATTAAAAAGAGTTAAGTAATGATAAAAAAAAAATAATGAAGTGCATTTGGTTTAATAAAGTTATATTTTTTCCATAATAATTTATATTTATAACTGGAAAGTTGTTCATAAGAATAATCACAGTTCTTTATTGTTTCAAGTACAAAAGAAAGAATAAAACTTAAAAAATCAACATAACAATTTTTATTTTATTTTTTTTAAATTACATATATTGTAATATATATTTTATGTTGTAGAGTCCCCTTCTTAATGATATAAAAGTAGTGACCGATTAATACTTATAAGAGAAGTAAATACAAAAATATAAATTAACTCCACTTGTAAATCTATTGTAATAAATAGAAGATACATTGAAAAACAAATAATAATAAGACTTAGAAACCCGAAGGTACCATTCATTGCTGTCTACACACCTATACCTCAACTATTTGCTATCCAAAATCCAGCCCCGCCAGACTAGTCTAAACACAACCTTTCCACCTTACTTTGGAATACCCCTTTGCCATTTACCAGTCGGCACGGTGCATATTAACCTCATAAGAATTCCTTCGTTACGAAACCAAACAATTTTACAAAGTCATTTTATTCGCCACAATGTATTCATCTTAATTATATTAACCAGATATAGGTTACGCAATTTGGCCTTGAGTAACCATATAAATTCTTTGGTTTACTGGTAATTCTTCAATCCAAATATTCTAGGCAGTAATCTTTTTTCAAAAACCTTAAGACGTTGCTCATCCATTAATGTAAGCACCCACATTTCAAATCTATAAAGTACCTCAGATCTATAAAGTAAGTAGGATAACGATTTTGAAAATTATAATTTTCGAGTTTAGAAATTAGAGTTTGAGACAGGAGGAATGAGCGAAATAGTTTTGTTACAGAAAAATAATAAGCATATCCCACGTTTAACCTTATTTTTCTCCTCTTCCTCGGCTTTTAGGCTATACAGGGTTTTTTCTGTAACTGGACGAGGGGAAAGGAAGGGGGGATTATGCCAAAGTTAAAAGTGCCCCTGGTACCGAGATTTAAACTGGTAATCTTCGATTTATCAGGGTGCTAGGCAATGCATATTTTACAAACATGCTAGCCCACTAAGCCATCCCGTCCTCACCCTCCTCTTCAATTTTGATTTTTCTAGATATCGTAAACCCTAGATGACTAAACTTTTCCACATGTTCAAACATATCCCCTTCTATATCTATATTACTGAAACTCACATTTTTCGCATCTAACCATACTTTCATCAATGTTGTCACATTTAGTAGATATGAAAAAAAATTCCAATATAATTTTTGGTTTATTATTTTCAATAATGAAACATTGTGATCGACCAAAAAATTCAAAAACTTAACCCCCTCTCAAAATTTGAGGTTTCACGTTTCAGGACGCGTAGAATTCGAAAAAACGAATAAACATTTTTTTATCCGTCCGCCGTCCGCGCATTTTCTCCGAAACTACTGGACCGATTTTTTTTCAAATTTTGATATAAAATCAGAGGTCACCCGAGGATGATCCTCCTTCATTGACATTACTCTCCGCCTTTAACTTTCAAAATGGCGGCCGAAAAACTTGCGATGCTATAGACTGTAGCTCCTAAACGAATGTACAGATTTCAATGAAACTTCGCTAAAGTCATTTTCTCAACGCCCTTTAAATTTATCTATATAACATACTTCAACGAAAAGAAGCTGGAAAAAAAGTTATGAGGGATGGTAAAATTAAATTCCGAATAACTTGAAAAGTTTTTACTTTTTTGTTGATATTGTATTTGGTTTTTTAAAAGTCTACGAAATTTCCGAAAAAAAAAAAAAATCGTTAAAATCAGACAATTAAGAGCAAAGATATGGTCACTGGTTTTTTTAAATATGTTCTACTCCAAATGTTATATCCTTGGTTTGGTTTTTAAATTTTGAATGTGTTACTGAAGTAATGCTATTTTTTTTTTAAGCATATTACTAATGATTAGAAAAGAAGTTTAGTCCAATAATTGGAATCAACTTTTGTTTATTTTTCTTTGTAACTTGGAAGGTAATGTTACTTTAGATGTATAATTGTTTGGAATTAATAAACCACTGTGAAATAATTTGCAGCGTTTTTTATAACAAAATTTATAATTTTTTTTTAAAAGCTGATACCATGAAAATCACATAAATGACTAATGGTTGCTAAAAGGTTGGTCTAACTCTATTAATAAAAGAAAAATATTTAATATACTTCAAATAAGAATGTAAAAACAGAGTATGAGGAAGAGAGAAGCACTGCAGGGAAAGAGAGAGCAAATAATAAAAATATTCAACATAGCAAATAAACAAAAATATGCATTTTAGAGGAAATAAAGATATTTTCCTTAATAACTAAAAAAAAAGTAGGGCCCTAAATGGATACGGATGAATCCAAAGAGGAGTCCTTTTTTTATGGTTGAGAATTAAGGATAAAGTGGAAAGTTCTCCAACAACAAAGGAAATAAGATGATTAAAACTGTGTTGAGATAGATAGAAAATGATAGTGTGACTCCTGATTAAGTCTACATTCCAGGGTGAAACAACAACAAAATTTGTTTTTTATTAACATTTCTCGAGAGATTCCTGTAATTGAATAACTTTGGGCATATTAAAATAACTACATGATTTTAAATAAAAATTACTTACTTGTCAGAGACCTCCGAGTATTCAGCCATTGCAAGCTTTCGTTGGCTTAAAGCATCTTTTAATTCTTTGTCTTGCATTTTCAGTTTTTCTAAGAAATCTAATTTGTCCTAAAAAAATATTTTGTAAAAATTATAATTGCATCTCTAGCTGTAATAAATAAGATCAATAAAATATAAAGTGATAAAGTCTTAGTTTAATCTAAACCAAAGAGCAGAGCAATGTAGTGAATAAGGTATTGTGCTCCTGTTCCGAGGTTGTTCACCCGTAATACGTAATTATTTGTTCTGTTACAACAGCTGTGGATCGACTCAGGAGTTGGGAGACTCTCCTGTGGTACATTTAGTACCTTCAAAGTGGGTACTCTTAATTAATTAAGGGAAGAAAGCTAGTCGTTAAGCCTGATCTTAGTGAAATCACCTCCAAGCATAACAGTTGACCCAGAAACAGAACTTCCTAACAAAGTATTTAACCTAAATAAAGCTCTTAAGGCTAACACAACTGCACAATCAAATATAAGAATTAATGAAATACATGAAAGGAAACAATAAATTACCCATAGACCGTATTACTTATTAAAATATATATTGAATAAAAATTGTAGCAACCTCCAAATATAATTGTGAATTTATACATTCGTGAAGATAAATTATGAATAAAATAACAACTCAAGGACATAATAACCAAGTTGTTGATCGCCTGAGATAACTGGTAATAGATAAATATATCTAATCCTGAACCTAAGGCCCATCAAGGATTCTAGTGGTATAGGTTTGGTCTAAACCATAGGTGTGAAACTTGAAGCCTCCAAAAGTGTATGAGCGAAATTCATTAATACTCTGATATTAGTATAATATTTACTAGTAATAATTAATATCCCCACATATGTTATTACAGTAAGGCTCAAAATCGGTTTTGTAGCAAGCTCCCGTCATGCTGAAATACCATGAATGGGGGACCGTTGGATTCAGAATTTCGCGGGGGATTAGAAAATCATATTCTCCACTTTTGTTTTTCTTCCTAAAATAAATAAAGTCGATACAAACATTTTGCTTGGCTTCAATACTGGAATCATGGTAAGTCTGTAGATCAATATGGGACAAATTGGGCTTTGAAGATTTTGATGCTTACAGCAAGACCCGGATAGTTCCTTCCGAACTATCGGGCTCTGCGTTTTTAAGCCCAAAAACGTACTATTTTCGAGATAATGCAAGGCATAGGGTTCACATCCACACAACCTTACCTTAATTGTAGTATTGTCATTGAATATATGTCTCATTTTGTCAACTTGAGGGCTCTACGATCAAGAGAGGAGATTATATTATTTATTGATGATGTTTTTGATCGGCAAGCCATATCATCGATAATTCTTCACCAAAAAATCCCAAGGGTGAGCCACCAATTTTGAAGACTTCCTTCTCCTTCAGGCGGGCAAAATAGTCCAATCACCCGGGAAATTCAGACAAGCAAGTTATGAAAGAAAAGAAACTTTATTTACGAATACCTAAAAAATTACACTGTTTTCCCTTGGTGATGCCCATGATTATATAAAAGATTACTAAATTCCTAACAAAAGAAAAAAAAAAAATCATCGAAATCGGACAATTTTTAGCAAAGATACAGCTCATTGAAATTTGTAAACATGTTGGTTCCAAACATTAATGAACTTTTAAATTAATTTTGTTTCCTTTGTCGATTATATTTATCGATAAAGTAACAATTGATTTCTTTAACTTATGATACGCCGCATTATTTTATTTTCTGATTAATTTGGCATTTGATCACTTAACAATATGCTGTACGAATTTTTCACACTTCTAGCAAAGCCTACTAGTAATATTTAATTAAATGTATTACGACAAATAAAAATAAAAATTTGTACATAAGTACTTAAACAAAAGAAAATATCCATGGTGAAGTATAAATAAATGTATTATCACTGCCTGACCTTAATGTAGCCTCTAATAAAAAAAGGTTCACTGCCTATGATCTAAACCTTAACTGATGGAACAGAGAAAGTAACAATTTATTTTTTATTTTTTGAAAATCTATGAATAATGAATACGTGAATTTGTTTGCAAAATATGAAACTTGATATATATTATTTTTGGAACAAAGAATTTGACATGCATAAATATATCTCTTTTCTTATTTTGTTTTATATTGTATACTAACTTTCATTGCTTCATCCTTTTCTTGTTTTATCATTCTAACAGCCTTTTCAAGTTCCCTGATTTTTTGTGGGGCATCAGATGTCTGATTTTCTTGAACATTATCCAGGGCATGTAATTGATGTTCAAGTTCTAAAATACAAACATAATTAAATGTGTAAATTCCTCAATTCTCTATCATCTGATCTGAGATGAAAAATTAATGATACAGCTTTTAATTTTAAAAATAATGTACACATTCTGTAAATAAATAAGTTAATTTCAAAATTAAATTGTGAACACTTTAACATTTTATGAAAGCATAGCTATAAATACTTTATCCTTTTAATGGTTCTTAAATATAATTATTCAACCTTTTTGAGTAAAAATGGGTCGATATTGTACACAACATTCTTGATATTTTCGGGTTTTAAGATTGGTTGGCTAGATTTAATTTAATAACTCAGCTTGTGAGAATTGAGAATGAAACTTTAATGCATGTACATTTGGAGTAAATGCATTAAACAAACTTGTCTACTATTCAGTGTAATAAGAGCTTTTAACATTAACTAAGAATTCAGAAATATACACATTTCAATTTGAAGATTGTTTTTTTAAGTGTAAAAAAAAAGTACATAAATAGAATTTATGAAAACTTACAGTGATAAAAGAAATTATATGAAAGCAGCCAACAAGTGCACATTTAAACAGCACTATTCATACACTTGATATAGTTTATAACATCAGTTGTTAAAATATATTGGGTTTCATGACGAAAATGTCAGGACCAGTAATTCAGCTGATCATGAAATTTCTTTCAAACATTTAACGGGAGCAGGAAGCAAAAATCTTTGTTTTCGATATGATAAAAAATCATGAAGTAATGTTTCAGACATAACAAGAATTAACCGCTTCAGACGTTTAAGACTTGCTCAGATCATAAACTTTTTAAAATTATTTTTTCAACAAGACATATGCACACCAACTATGATGAAACAATTACGATTGGGTATAACAATGTGCTTTACTTGGTCAGTTTAAAGTTCCTTTAATCCTTAGAAAAGATATCCAATGTATATTGGGACTAAATTGTCTGCCTATTTTGATGTTCTCGAATCAGAATTGAATGCATGTACATATTTTTAAATTAAATCATTTCAATTAAACTTTTTTCAGTTAAATACATAGTCACAATAATAAAATCTAAAGACCATTAATACTTGAAAATAAATTATAAAAGAAATTTAGAAAATGTCACCAAATACATTAATATTATTATCGCGGTGCTACAACTTGGTGACGAGTCTTGGCCTTCTCCACCAATCATCTCTGTTCTTTGCGGCCATCATCCAGCTCCTGATTCCTAGGACATCCCTCGAATATCTTGCCACACCGTCTGAACATCTTAGTTTTGGTCTCCCACTTCTTCTTGTGCCGTAGAGAGGTTCTGTCAGGATCATCCTAGGAATTGCTTCATTCTCCATCCTTGCCACATGACCAGTTCTCTCAAGCTTCCAAGCTTCATCCTCAGAACGACATCCTAATCATTAAAAGTTGAGCAAAGCTCGGCATTTGTCCGTCTTTTTTTTCTCCAATTTCCAATAATCTGCACTCCTCCAAATATTCTTCGAAGAATTTTCCTCTCAAAGATTAGCAGGTGTTGATCAATTTTTTTAGTCGTTGTCCATGTTTCTGAAGCATAGAGCAAGACTGAGCGGATTAGTGTTTTATAGAGATGTAGCTTGTTATGGCGGGATAGAAGGCGAGAGGTGAATTCCTTGCGAAGGGCAAAGTAACACTTACACCAAATACATAATCCTAATAATATTTTTGGAAAGGTTAAATTTAACTACCTGCATTTCTTTTAGTGAGGATGTTGATTTCATCTTGCAACCTCCTAAGACTAGCACTATCACTGGTTGGCGAAACTTTTCTCACGTTTTCACTTTCATCATTGGATTGCACTTCAATAGCTTTCTTTAGTTCTAAAATAAAAAAACTTGAATGAGCATACATAAATAAGCCTAATTTTCATTTTAAATAAACTATTCCATAAAGAATAACATTATTTTTTTTTTGAGGAGTTAGTCGAGGGTGCGGTCAAATAAATAAAAAATTAAAATATATTAATTATTTTAATTTTTGCTGACGTTTCGACCCACTTTGCAGGTTGTCTTCAGGGCGTAGGGTGTGGCACTGCGGGAGGCAGTTGAAACACTCGCTTTTTTTTTTTTAATTTTATGCCGCTACTAGGTAAGAACAATATAGTAATCAGGTGATTGTGAATAATACAAACCACAAATCTTCGATATGTGGTTTGTATTTTACTTTCAAAAGTTGGAATGTAAAAATTGTAAATGAATAAGTAGCTAAAATTTTATCCAAATTGAAACCCACCAACATTATTAGGCAATACCAGCATCAACTTTAAACCTTACTGAAATGGTTTGGTTAAAAAAAAATCTGGTGTGTCCACTCACACAACTTTCCTACCTATTTCAGAAAAGTTTTTATATCTTTACATATGTTCATGAAGAAACAAAAAAGAATTGACCTAGATACATTTTCCTGAAAATTGATCAAACATAAGATTTAAGTATGATTTATTTGATAAACTAAAGCAATGTAAACCGGCTTACGGTAGATCAGTGTAAAAATTTCAATACTTCCTAATATTGCTGATCAAATTGCTGAATTTTTTTTGTCATGTTGGTAATTTAATTGCCTTTCAAAAGTTTTATTATAAATTTTACCGTATAATATATACTTCGGGAGTTAAGCCCCATAACATTTTTCTTTTCTTTATAACTTTTTTTCCTGAATTTTTTATTGGGAATTTAGTCAATATACGAAAATTGAAAGAACAATGATTAGAACATTATAGGAAAATTTCATCAAAATCGTTAGAGCCGTTTTTGCGCTACAGTCTACAGAAAAACATGTTTTTCATTTATTGCGCACAAGCTATTGCGCATGGAGCACTGAATTTCTGTCACAGGCATCAGTAGTCAAAACCCTACAAAATAAAAAAAGAAGCAACAAAATCGGTTCAGTAGTTCTCGAGAAAATCTTGGCACAGACAGACAGACTAATGGCTAAAAATGTGTTTTTCGGACTCGGGGGGCTCTGAAACGTATAGATCTGTAAAAAACCTCATGTCCGAAATTTGACCCAATTGCAATACTTTCCTTACCTAGTATAGGTAGGAAAGTAAAAAAAGTTGATGTATTTATATCCAATTTTCTATATCAATAGTAAAATTATAAATTATCTATTAATGTTTATTTTTCTTCTTTTTCATCATCTTAACGATAAGAAAATCTTATCATTACAAATAAAACAGAGATTCAAAGCACTTAACTAGTGTTTAAGAATGACTATGACACACTTTTTAAGAGAAGAAATCTCATTAACGTTAACATATTTATGCTAAACTCACAACTGTTGTGACATTTTTAACAAAATTTTTTTTTATTAGAAAATATATCTATAACAGCGCTATGTTGATGAACATCATTCAGCAGATAAATAATTAATATAAAACAGCAAATGATATTGGTGACTAAATGAAAATGTAATAATAATAAAATGGCATACCTGCAACACTTTTTGATAATCGTAAATTTTCTTGTTCTAACTCTCGTAAATGTCTATTAAGTTCTTCATCACTACCCTCAGAAACTAATGGAAGACTAGTTAAATCACTTGTCCGACTAAAAATAAGTAAAATAAAAATAAATATAACGACAAATAAAGATGATTCTAAATAATTAGATATAACACTATAATCAACAACATACTTGCAAATAAATGTAAAGAAATATTAATATAAATAATTATATTTAAATTGTTCGTTACAGAGCTCTTCAGTACTTTTCGTTTTAATGAAACATTATCAACGAGTCTAAAATCATGCTGAAAAATGGAGTTCAAAATAAATGTCTTACCTGCCCTGAGTAAAGGTAAATCCCACAAAAGGTAAATGTAAACCTGCAAAAGCCGGATTTGCAGGTGTAGGTGGTACTGCTTCGCTGCATCTAATGTCATTATCATCTACATCGAAATTGGAAGTATCAGTCGGGCTACTAACTTCTGGTATATAAGGAGCTTTACTTTCCCTGATTGTATCCCAATCCACACCGCTAAACCAAACATGATTCTAAAAATGAAAAAATCGTTTATAAATTTATGACAAATTAAAAAAATAATCAGGAGTTCAAATACGCCATTGCTGTAAATCAATGACAGAGCATGCTTTAGAGCAAAGGCTTACTTAATTTACAGAGGCGATGAATCTACTTTTAATAACCAAGTTTAAAGTAGCTTTCGTATGTTTCTATGATCCTAATACTATTATTATCAGAAATAAGTATTTCAAATATTTAGATAAATTGGATAAATCAACAACTGGACATAATTATAGTTATCAACTTTCTTAAACATATACATTCTTGATTTCAATAAATTCTTTCTACGTTATTTTATTCTTATTAAGTTATAATTATCTTATCTTTCCTTAGGAGTAATCAAATTTCTTAGCTACCTTTTCTAGTTGGAGAAATGTACCCTAAAAAATTCATAATGTGACATAGCGACTAAGTCAAAACCATCTTCACCCTATAGAGTTTTGTTGAAGATTGCGCCAGTCATTGAGATACTATCAGACTTAATTTATTATTTAAGAATAACATGTCAATTGCTGATGAGATAACTCTTATTTTATACAGGTTGTGTATTTGCTCAAGATGCCAAATATGTTACCTCATAGTTTTACTTGCCATATTTGTAGTACTACGATGATATTTTAAATATACCACTAGTGTAAATATGAAAAAAGAAAGCCTCAGCAAAACATTTCACTATAAGAGAATAAATGGAAGAAATATGAAAATGCATGACCATTAAAAATATTCCAATCACTAGATAAAATTGATAAGAATAATAATCCTCTGATGCAGCAAGATTGAATATCAATAAAAGACCGGTGAAAATAGATTCATTATCAATCATAATCTTTACAAACATGACTTTTAAGTTGTGAGCAAAAAACATAGTACAATTTCAAAGCATGAATTGAATAGTATCATTGTATAGTAGTTCAATCTTCACATCTTTCAGAGTTGAAAACTGTGCTGTGGTGAATGACAATAAATAAAAAATAAAAGAAAGGAGAGTAGTTTTTTGTAACTTTCTTCAGGAGCTACCATAAGCCATCAGTTTCTAGGAGAATTTAACAAATCTTGCTTTTAAACAAGTTATTAAGATAGCCAAGAAAGAAGAGCTCAGCGAAATAACTTTCTATGAGTTTAAGAAAAGGCTGCAGTAGATTGTGGTTAGCCATCCAACAGGATAAAATAAAATCCATACCCTCAATATTTGGGCAATTCCATTAGTAACTTATGGTTTTGATATAAAAAGCTCGTATCGACCAAAATTAAAGAATTGGACCGCCCTAGTGTATACAATGATAACATGCTAAAGTTCACCACTCAAAGGGAACTGTGGCTAGACTTCAATTAACCAGAAAGGAAGTTTAGATTAAAAAATATACAAATTACCACTAATTTGAACAATCCTATTGACTATCAAATAAAAATAATGTTTAATATATTAAAAAATTTACCTTGAAATCCTGAACTCCATTTTGGCCTAATCGATAATCTGAACCACAAATAAGGTGTTTCATTAAATCTTTTGCTTCATCAGACACATCATAATCCAGGCCTCCAGGAAAATCGAAACAGTTCTATTTATCAAAGTAAAACAAATTGTTAAACAAAAAAATAAACAGATTAAAAAATAGACTAAAAGTTAAAAAATAAAAACACAAATAAATTCATACTTTGTGATTCATAATCTTCCCATATGTTTCAACAAGGGACTCAGCATAAAACGGGGTCTCACCATATAGCATCTCATACATACAAACCCCAAGTGACCACCAATCACATTCAGGTCCGTATCTGCCTTGCCCGTCTTCCATGGCCTAGAAATAAAAGATCTTTATAATTCTTTTATTATTATAGTAAAAGTACTGTATTTTAAACTAAAATAGTAGTAATAAGACTAACACAGATGGTTTCATAGCTTTTCTAATTTTTCAAGACTTTCTTTTTATTTGACCCAATATTATATTTTTTAAGTAACAATCATTCTTGTTTTTCCTTACTATGTTTCGCATCCGTAAAGAACAATAGGGAACTATTGTTTATTACAAACAAAACATCTGGTATATAAGTCTTATTTGCAGAGAACAGTTTTAAAATATTAAGGTGTCCATATAGTAGATGATATATTACTTTATGCTTTAATAGATGAAGAGTACTTTAAAACTTGGAGTACTTTGCTGTTAGCTGTATACAAATGAATAATTTAATCAACGTATGACAAGTCATCATGCAGTTTATTATCTAAATTACAATCATGTTCATAATTCATGAAGTATGTTCATGTTTAACAGCAAAAAAAAAAACATAAGGGACACGTTCTCCCAGTGAATATTTGGTGGTATCTCCTGGGGGAGGAATGAATGTGAAAAAATTATAAACAGTATAACATATTCAACAAAAACAACTGAAGTCACACGTATCGAATTTGCTAAATTAAAGCATTTGCCAGCAATTTTTATTTCCTCTTACAACAATTCATATCTATTAATTTATTTATATTCACTTTTTGCTATATTGAATTACTATTTCAATATATTTGAAAATAATTGTTAAATATGATGTATATAGCTACTTTTTTTTTCAATATTTATATACCAATGCTAAAAGAAATATTGGAGTGTTTTATGCTGCAAAGGCTAAACAATATTGGAATCATAAAAAACAGCTAAATTCAAGGCATTCCTCGACAGTTCCTGAGAAAGTAGAAGCGAAATGCTTCTTAACTTAGACAGGTTATCACTAAGGAAAATTAGTGATTTATAATGCCATGAAAAACTGGACAATCATATGTTTAAACTGAAGTTGGCAGAATCAGCTTTGTGTGGATTCCATCATGTTGAGTAAAAAACTTGCTTACTTGCTTGTTTACTTTCATATTACAACTATTATTATTGAACTTTATTTTCAATTTTTATTGTTTTTTTATGTTGGCATTATAGACATTGTAAATCTTTTGCAACCTTAATCAAATACTTCTTTCCAGTTATCAGCATGCACCATCTCTCTGCCGTAATCCAGTTCGAACTTTGAAGATTTCGGATACTTCTTGTATTAGGACTCGAAGTTTAGGGCCATTCATAGATTTTACATGCCTTCCTAAGAACACCTAGAAGTTCAGTCATGATTTTCCAAAGACAGTTCATCTCCATGGAATCATAGGCTGCTAGGAAATCGTCAAACAAGATATGCACATCGTGAGCTACTTCCCATAATTTCCGAATACTTGTTTTAGGATGAAGATCTGGTCTAGCGTGCCATTTTCTGAATCCAGCTTGATGGTTGCCAATTTTATTTCCATAATACATATATATCAGGTATAGTAGGATATTAGTGATTATCTAGTAGGCAACAGGAAAGACTGCTATGCCTGAGTAATTATTACATTCATACATGGAAACTTTGTTTAGAATATGGCAGATTAAGACTCTGGCATAATTTCTTCTCTTTTTTTTTCTGGATTCGTTGTAGTAACTTGCCTCCTGAGTCTTCTCTCCCATATTTAAACAGTTCTGATGGCAGATTGTTTATTCCTGGGGCTTTTCTTGTTTCAAGCCTTTTTATAGCTATTTCCACATCCAGTATATCTGTTTTTCCAACTTCTTTTGGGTTAAGGTCCTAAGCGTGGCCATGTCTTCTTCATTTATGGAATCCCCTCGATTAAGAAGTTGCTGGAAATGTTCTTTCCAGTTGCTCAATATATTTACTTTAGATGCTCATCAGAGTACCATCTTTTCCTCCCATTTGAGTATTTCTCGCTTTATTTCTTATCCATTCTTTCATAATGTCTAGCTAGAATTCGCATATATCTCCAGCCTGTTTTATTAGTTGTATACATGATATTTTACTCTAATAATTCTATTAGGTCTATAAAAAATTATTAATAAGTTTTTAAATATTATGTCATGAGATGTAATGTATAGAAATATTAACTCATTTCAGTATTACAGCAATTTGGAAAAGACATAAATAATTTAACACAATGTATATAAATTGCAAATCACTCCTCTATAGCAACCACTTTGGGTTAGTACAGCAATATGACAAATGATGAGAAAAATAATTATACTCTTTAACATTAGTATGGAAGTATACATGTATGTTTAAGATTTTCCATTAATATAATTTACCCGCAGGATTTCAGGTGATATATAATCTGGAGTGCCAACAGCAACATTACTTTGAACTGTTCCATCTTTAAATAATTTCAAACAGGAACCAAAATCTGCCAGGCGTATGTGACCATTAGCATCCAAAAGAACATTATCTGGTTTGATATCCCTAAAAAACAACATAAAAATGATTAATTATTATAATTTTGGGTAGATACAGATTTTATATTTGCAAGAATAAATAAATGCTTGCAATTGAAAACACTTACCTATGTACATATCTAAGATTATGTATAGAAGAAATGGCCAAAACCATTTCAGCTATATAAAACTTAGCCATGTCTTCAGGCAAGCGATCCTCAAACTTGCTTAATAATGTTAACAAATCCCCTCCACAATAATAATCCATAACTAAATACTGCAATGAAATAACCAGAAAATAAAATGTCAACAGAAAATAAATAAATATAATCAAAAGTTATAAAAGTAACTCAGTTACCAAATTATTTTCATCCTGAAACGCATAATGAAGATTTGTGATCCAACGACGATCGCCATAAACTAAAACATCTCTTTCTTCCTATAAGGAAATTGACAAAAAAATATGTTGTTTTATCAAGAATTTTTAATAATATCATTAGTTAAATATAACACTTATCAGTAACTTAAGTTAAATATAATACCTGAAAGCATGCCGTTTCTGCTCGTTTAAGCATTTCCCACTTGTTTAAGATCTTCATGGCGAACACTTTATCAGTTTTTTTCATTTTCACGACACATACTTCTCCAAATGCACCTCTCCCGATAACTTTGACTAATTCAAAATCATCACGGGTTAACCGAAGCGACTTTACACAATTAGCAACAGGTTTGGCTAAAAAATATAATACAACATTCAAAATAAATATGAGCACAGAAAAGTTAAACATTAAAAAAATATTAACTTTTAATTAGTTAGGAGTATATAGTAGAATAAAAATGGAGGATACTGAAGATATAAACTGTGTTATCTTTATTTGGTTAATAAAAGGTTTATTTCTATGATGATTTAAAATTTTTTTGATAATAACCTTCATAATTCCAAAAACACTTTGACATTTTGGATTATATTTATCCATTTTCAAATATGCAATATGTTATTTTATGTCTTTTTAATAATAAAACATTCCTAAACCAACATTTCAGAGATCTCTATCATGAGGGTTCCAATCAAAGATTTTTTTTAAATACAATTTTTCATTGCATATAGATATACTTCCAAATAGTTGGAAAATATATAAGATATTAAAAAAATAAAATAAAAGAAATTGCTTATAGCACTAATCAGCATTTGAAACCTTAACAACATACCATAAGGTATTCCTTATGTTTTTATTAAAACCTAAGATTCCTGAAACTATATGAGGAATAGATAGTGAGAAATAAAAAATAGGCAAACAAATTTAATTTTGGTTATTGAAAAGATATTTCACTCACCGTTGTTGATAAGGGATAAGAAATATGAAAAACATTATTTATGCAAGCATCGGAATCAGTGTATTAAGTTGCATCGTAACATGCAATATCGTATCATAATGTAACACCGACATGGCACACAACACAGTGACTAGAACTTCATGTCAGGGCAGGGTTGTGACAAATACATTTTAACACATCCCCATCCCATCTAATATCAAATAGAAAATGTATTTAAATTGAAAAACTGTTTATACTTCATTTTATTCTGCTAGACATAATGGTGAGAAACTTGTAACTGAAATTACTACAATTGTTTTATAGAAAGCCTTAGAAACTTTAATCAATTTAGTATTAAATTGAGAGTAAGATTCATACGTTTTCAACAAATTATAACTTAACTTCAGAGAATTTTATATTGTTCAAGAGTATTAAAGTTAAGGAAATTAAAGTCATCCACTTAATCATCAGATTTGCAATTTGAAAATGTGGAAATTTTACTCATTTTAATATTCGTATGTGAACAAAATTTGTGGATAACGAAAGCACAAATGTTGAGAGATTATTGTATTTCCGAAAACGGCTTCTTCCGGAGCTTTTATTCACATACGAAACATTATAAACCTTGAAATATAGATATTTGTTTATATATTGAAAACGGTAAGGAAGCTATACTGACTTTACTTGGCAAACTTTTTCTGAGCACTTCAAAAATTTCATTTTTTGTTCTTTCTCACATCCACTTATTTTCTTCTTTCATTCATGTTTCTACTCTTTCTCGTAATTTTAACTCAACACTACATTCATTTATTTATTTTTTATATTCATTTGTTTGATTAATTTTTATTAAATTTATCATAGAAATTAAAACATAGTTGCTTACTATGTGTTATTAAAACTTTGAGAACATCTCTGTTGCCTTCTTTCTTACTTAACCACCAAAATCTCATTTTCCTCATTAAATTATTGCTCCTTATCTTGATACATGTCATTTAACATGTACATCACATGGGGGGAAGGGAGTGGGGAAAACAGAGAAAAGAAAAATAAATTTAAAGGGAAAATCTGACAGTCAAATTTAACTAATGAAAATACAAAAAAAAAAAAGTAATTATGAAACAAAACATTAGAGGATTAAGGTACAAACTAATAGCAAATATACGTGCCAAAGGTAAGAACATATGTGGGCATAGCTAAAATGCTTGTTTATTATCATCTCATTGACATTACCAAAATAAAATTTATGGATTCATCAGAAGAGATGACTTTAAAATAAATTAATTTATCAAGCTAAAAGAATAATGATTACTATTGAAATACATCTTGTTAGTTCTTTTACCATGACAAATATTCTGATAAATCATTTTCCTAAAAACCATTTTTAAGGGGTAGATATAATTGTTTTTCATGCTGACAATTTCTTGAGAGTTTTCTTATAGTTACAGCTATGATTAAAGCATAATGATCACCTTTTCATCGCACTGAAATTTATTTCTCCTGATTACACAAATTTTAAAGTCATACTTCATTATTAGAAAATGATTATATCTTGTACATTTGTCATTCCCCACAATTTTGTTTTTAGGGTTACACACAAGAAAAAATAATTATGAAATTTTAGAGCTTTGAAACTATACACCGATGAGTTATACATAGGCATATTGATAGGATCAGTGTATCTAATTGTGTATGAATTTATTCAGAATCAAATAATGTCTATTTAATAAAATTTAATCATTCAGTCAAAAAGAAATTCAATAATTAGAAGAAATATTTTCATTAGTATGAGGCTAGAGGCTGAATTAAGTCAAATAAACAGAATACTATACCACTAACTTTAAGTGAGAAAAGAAGGAAAGATTAACTCTCTGAGTACCACGGATCTCATTAAAAGCTAAGTACAATACCTAAACTATTTCACTTAAAAACACCCATTAATGAGCAGGAAGTTTAAACCTAAACAGTTAAGTTCTATCGACGGCCCTTATCTCTAATATCATTTAATCCTTCAAATAAAAAACATTTTGAATAAATAATTAGCTATTTTTACTACAAGATCCATATGATGATTTCCTTAATTATTATGTGATGATAAAAAATTAAATAAATGTCATCATTACAAAAATATAGTTAGATGAAACATTACCCAGAAGCTTTGTATGCTTCCTTTTTTATATAAGATATTTGTAATAATTATGAGAAATATTTTTTCAACATGAAATTGTTCATAAATTTATTGTAACGTATTTGTTGTAAAATAAATAAACAAAGAAATGTCAGGGTCATCAGAGCGTCCCCACAGAGCTCCAGCAACATCTTTGATAGAGAAAATGTATTCATTCACAAGTTTTAATATTTCAGGTTTCTTTTCTAAACATTCCTTATAGTTTCAAACTAAAATTCAATGAACACGTGGGGGTCCTAAGAAGGACACTGTGGTACCTGGAGTGTTAAAATTTACTACCACTTAACTAGGATGCAAACATCATCAAGAGCAATACAGTTCAAACAATTACCACTGACTGACTCATACAAACAAAAAATCTCTGATAAAAATGTTTATTACCAAGCATAATATATGTTTTATTATAAAATCTGCACTAATTTGTCCATCCAAAAAGAAATGAAATGACAGGACAGGAGTGGCATCTCTATAATGTAGAACTTATAGATTTACAGCTGGTATGGCAGTATGAATAAATTAAAGAAAATTGCTAGGACAGGGTCAATAAATACGCAAGAAGTAAACTGTCTTCAAAAAAGAAGGAGGGTTACATTGGTAAGATTCCAAGTTACTATAGGATGGCTAAGCCAAAAAGGGAAAACAAAATCTTACCTCACAAAAATAAGTATGATGGATCTAACTGAAGAAAGAAATGTAGAAATCCTGACATCTGAAATTCATTAAGTGATAATGACATCAAGCCTCACAACTAGCTAAACATTTTTAAACCTAGTTATAATGAGAACATATCAACTGATTTATACAAAAGATACTTTTTAAAAATTAATTTTATTTAAAAATATATAAAATGATAAGAAATTCAGAAATAGCGGTTATTTTTTATGCATATTGTATACTTTAATAAGGCTTCAATAATTATTCACAGTTTGATTAGAATTTCCTGACAAGTTAAGTTATATTATTTCAACTTACATTTAGAATTGATAACTAACATTGTTTTTTTAAAAATAAATAAATGACAACAACAATTAGATTTAATTCTGATCCCGTGTCAATACAATTTAAGTAGGCAGCAGTATTAACTGTGTTAATCTTAGCCAGAAATAAAGGAGCATTCTTGATATTGTGGAAATATATATTATTATTTGATGATTAATCAAGAGTGATAATACCCTTTTTTTTATTCACTTAAAGAATATGTTGATATAATTCATGCTTATGGTGTTGCGAGAGGAACAACAGACTGCGGGCAGAACAAGAATATCAAAATCTATTTTCAAATCGTCAAATGATAGAAAATGCTTAACGAATTATGAGGGAACCAGATTGATTCGGAGAAAACGTGTCAGCAACACTGGTCAATTTAGTAGAAACTAACAAGAAAACCTAAACAAGATGTTTAGATTTCGACCATGACTTGATGATAATTAGCCTTATTTTATAAATCAACTAGGCACATCTTACTCTATGGTTTTAGATCTCTTAAGGATAAGAATAGATATCCTTATAACCTTCAGATCGTACAGGAGGTTGCTACCTCTTGATATGGAATCAAGAATTGGAAAGTACAAAATGGTTTTAACAACAGTGTTGTGGCAACAGATATTTTCTTAGACGGATACTGTGGACTGATGAGGCTACATTGACATATCCTGGAGTATTTAATTCACACAATTCTCCCCTCAGGGCTCTTGATAATCCACACATTATCAGGAACTTTCATTTCCAATACCCGTTCAGCGTAAATGTATGATTGGGTGTTTTCGGATGACTATTGTCATAATTAATTGGCTGATTGCAAATCTTCTACCGACAACACTTCTCAAAGTTATAAAGGAATCCAGAGAGATAATATGGTGGTAGATGGATGGATACCTTGCACACAACAGACATGCTATAACAAACTGGCTGGACCACAGAACTATTTCAAGAGATGGAGAGGGAGATATACGAAGGGGCATTGCCCACAGGCTAACTTTGATATTGTTGGACTTTTATGTTCGGGGTAAACTAAAGATTGAAGTTTACAGAACACCAACTGATGACAGCAACCAGCCGATCACTATTTATCAGGTATGTAAGAAAATTAAAACAAACAATGAAACAATTCTAAAGAATAATTAGAAAGCGGTTCTTAACAAATTTTGAAAGTGCATCTCAAAAGAAGGTTGGCAGTTTCAACCAATTTTTTAAAGTTTTTTATGGAAAACTCTTGTTTTCACTTATTTAAAAAGAAAATCTTTTCAATTTTTTGTTCAAAAAGAAAATTCTTAATTTTAATTTTTTGTTCCAGAAGAAAATGTTTATTTAACTTATTTGTTTAAGAATATAAATTTTTATACACTAACAGATATCAAAAAATGACTAAAACATATGAGCTCACTAACACATCTCATATTTTTAATCCTTGTTTTTCAAATTAAAAGTCTTTTAAAGGCATCCGATCACAGTATTGTTAAGATGAAAATGTTTACTTAAATACATTTTTGTGTAATTTAACAATCTTTATTCTCTCAGGGATACTTATAATTATTCAAATTTTTTAGTATTACTTTTAAAATAAACAGTTTGAAGATCAAAATTCTTGTATTTAAAAAAAAATAGTAAATTAAAAAAACAAAACATATTTTTCAAAATTAAAGTTGCCATAATTTCACTTGAGATTAAACAATGTCAATGAGTATAAGGAAGTACAATTTTTAACAAGTGTACCATAGCAAAACTGTTGGTGTAGATGGAGCTTTATATGGGATGTTGGTCGAAAATTATAGTCAAGTGAAATTAAACAAAAAAAAAGAAAAGTGATTTCTACATTACTACCGAAACCATTTCAGTAATACATCAAGCAGAAAAAGTGGAGGTCTATCTGGTGTATTACTTCCAGTAATAAAAAAATAAAAAAAAATCAGCGTCTAAGAACTTACTAAATCTTATAAACTTTCATATTGTACATATTAATTTTAACATACACATGTGAAACTAATATATTTACTTTTGCATTTTTCACTCATAATAATATAAGGATATAAAATAATTTAACAAGATACAGCTGATATGACATAATAATGACCAGCTTAATAAGAAAATAAATTGATGAAAACATTTCAATAAATGGAGGGAAACAGGCTAGAAGTAAGCAAATAAAACTAAATCAATTGAAAATATTTAGAAAAGGACATTATGCTTTCCTATTTGCATGTTTAGCACTAGCGGATCCAGGATTTAATTTTGGGGAGGGCTTCAGCCCAATCGATTTTTCCCCATATATTTAACGATAATTACTTTGGAAAAAAAAAAAAAAAAGAACCTATCTGTATGAAATAGATTTTAAGTGATATTTGAAGTCCTATTAAAGGTAATGACACAGATAATAAAACTTTAAGAGATAATTTTTTAATATCTTTTCCATAAAACAGTGTTAAATTTTACCATTTTGGGAAAAGGATTCAGCCCAAAACAACGAAAGAAAATGTTCGGTCATTTTTTCAAAGTTTATTGAATTTTCTTAAAGTTGATTTTACTTAACAATTTATAAAATATGTTTAAACAAAACAATAAATAAATATATATATATATATATATATATATATATATATATATATATATATATGAAATCTGAAATAGAATACTACTCCTTTAATAAAGTTAAATCTTGAAAATTTTTAACTTACCAAATTGGATAAAATCCGAAACAGTTTTTTCTCTCCGTAAAGAAGAATTACAGCATTCATCATACAAAACAAGAAGAATGTCGAGAAGAGTTTCAATACTAAAGCATTGACCTTGAGCCAGTATGGGTCCTCCAAGGAACAAGGCCTCCAACTGACGTAAACGTTTTTCTCCTGAAATAAAGTTAAACAAAAAGTTTAACAAAATAATTTTATAGGCTATTAAATCAAACAAGTCTTCTCATAGAGTATGAAAGATATCTGATAATGTTCAAAGGTTTTAATAACATAAAAAGAATGGATGGATATATTGCATTAAAATTATGAACGTGCACTAAAAGTAAGGTGAAAAAGGTAATAAAAGTCAAAAATTAATTTAATTTTCATTTATATATTAATCTAGATGCATAGTTGTGTACATGTTATTAACTAAACCAATTGTTGACAACCTTTACAAAACAGGAGATGGACCAATAAACAACTTGTCTACAATTTATGGAAGTTAAACCTGTACAACTGAACGCATGGATATTTTTTATTCCCTCCCCTTTCAGGCTATACGGGGATTTTCCTGGACAGGGGATGAGGGCGTGGAATTAATGCCAGAGTTGAACCGGGCACGGGGGCTTGAACTTGTAATTATTTTATCATGTTACATCATCTGTTTTGCCGGGCAACACAGTGCTGTGCACACATATTATCTTGCTCGTCCACCCTGCCCCAACCGATGGAGGTTCTAAAATTAACTAAATTAAAAAATATATAAATAAATAAAATAATTATTTGTTACTTTCAATCACCATTAATTGAAATATACAGTAAAAGAAATATCGTGAAATCAGAAGTAAGATAATAAAAAATTTTGAATCCAAATACACAACAGAAGTACATGTCACAAAGCCACCAGAATCCAAATAACCAAATTTAAAAAAAAAATAAAAGTCTGTGTGCATGTGAACAGTCGAGCTCAAAAAACGAAAAGCCATACAAAACTGAAATTACATATTTAAGGTAGATATACGCCTGGGATGTCAGACCAAATTTTTCATCAAAATCAACTGACCAGAAATGATAATTTATATAGTTAATTTAATACATTTTTACAAAGTTGTCATGTCTATATCAAATTAAATGGTATTTAATATCAGATAAGTATTAACCTCAATGAAATAGCCTGACAACGCTTAAATGCCGAATTTCCAACAAAAAAAATTCTACAATTCTTTTAAATGTTTTTATTAGAAATAATTAAATGTCTTTCATAGTCAGTAGTAATGCAAATGGATAAATATAAAGAACGAAAGACTTTGATAAATGAATAAAGAATAAGATAGTAAAGCAGATTGATAACAGATTTCTGGAAATAAGAATAGTAATATAGATGTATAATATACCGTTGGAAAGCTAAAGATTAAAAAAAAAAAAAGTGAATATCTAACAAATAAGATCGTAGAAGGTAATAATGAGTGATAAAATGGTAATTACTTTTAATTGCTATAGTTAATAATGTCCATTATATTATTAAATGGGAAATTTTTCCAAAGAAACTAAATTTCTACAGAAAATATATTCAAAATTTTTTTTTTTCATTTTGTTAAATCAAAAATGTGTATATTTATAATTAAAGTACCTAATATTCTAAATGTTTATTAAATTTTAATAAAATTAATTTGGTTAGAAAGTAGGGTGATAAGTGAAAGTTGTGTGGTGGATTGTACCAGATTTTTCTATTTATTTTTTTAAAACAATTTTTGTTTCCTTTGATTTATAATAGTTTAAAAAAAGGACAATTTTTTTTTTTTTTAAACTATTTTAATCTTTAATTAAAGATTTTGAAAGTAATTGTATTATTTATTACTTGTCAATATTTACTAATTTTACAGGTTTAATAAGGACTTAATTTTGTTGGTATCATCTTATTTCATAGCAATACACCTCTTGGAGAGTTAGAACCTCCTGTAATTTTATCTGCCAATCATTGCTGTATGCTGCTACTAGGCTTCAGTAACTAATTCACAAGATGGATCTTATTTCATTGGAGAAATCATCTGTTATGAGAGTCATTCTTGCTATCATCATTATCTCATCACTTATTCTGTTATATTGATAGTTGAAACTGTTTGGGCACATCCAGTCACAATATAGAGAGTACTCTAAACTGAAGGGAAAACAGTGTGATTGAGCGTGATCGTGATTAAAGCATCTCCACAACTACAACTGTTGGCCAAGAAACAGTACTCCTTTACCAAGAACTGAATCCAATACCCTTCTTGGTTTTATTATTACCTTAAACTTTACTGATCCAATTTATAATTTTGTCTATTATCCTATTTATTTATTTACTGTAATAACTCTTTGTTTACTCATACACTTAAAACTTCTTTCCTTTTTTTTTTCTATTAATAAATTAAAATTCATCTAAATAATATAAACAAATTTCTCCAATAATTTAAATCCATGATTAATATAGCAATATTTAAATATTAATTAAACACCTAGTCATTTGACAACTTGTGTATTTATAAAGAAATGGTGAGTCATATTGCAAGAAGGTAAACATTAAAAATAAAAACTCTAAGGCTCCCATGTTGTGAGACACAAACTGGAGAGAAACAAAAAACCAATGACATGGTAGATTATAGAGAACAGCATCAGGGAAAGGTCTTTATTTCTGTACTTCTCATAGTATTATTTGTTTCTGCTTGCAATAGTGATTTTACTGTTTGTAAGAGACTAAATAGCTCAAAATACGTCATAGATGAGAGGTAACTGACCACCGACTTTTCTACATAAAAATAATTTTAAGATATTACAAAATGCGAAAATGCCTTCTTCCTTAGAAAACCTAAAGAAAACTCTTTTCTTTTTTAATAATGATTTCATACAAGATGTATCTATCATAGTAAAACTGGCTTCAGGTATGAGGTTATGGATTCAGAACTCTGGACACTTAAGCATATGACAAACTTCATGTTTTACATTTTTAAATCAGATACCAGAACGGCTACTACAGCTCCATTCAATGTTTTTAATAATATTTTAATAAGCTTTTTTTTCTTTTAAATTGAGTTTACTTTATTTTAAAATATAGCAATTTGGTTCTATCATATTTTACCTGATTACTTAATATATATGAGTAAATAAATGCTTATCATATTCCCTAACATTTCAAATTTGATTTTTAACTTGATTACTATAAACCAAAATAGTCATTGCAAATCTGATTCATGAATATAAAAATATGAAACAAAATTAATAAAATAACATTGTAAATAACAAGTTAGTGAATAAACTGTAAATAACAAGTCAATTTATTAAGTATAATGAAATTTTTAAAGGCCATTAATATGAGATAAAAGATGGTGTAAGTTTTAAGACTGGCAGAGAAAGATTGATCTAAGAACCCCTCCCATTGGAACAAACAAATATCAACAGAAGAATAGTATGTGCAATTTCCTAAACTCAGTGCTCAACTCATCAATAGTATTGGATCCTTCTCTAAATTGGGCAAAACAATGCTATTGATGAGCTTGGAGCTGGGTTTAAGAACCTGCCCTATGTAGTGATGAAAAGAGAAAACAAAATAACATAAAAATCCTGATCTTTAATATGGTAACTAAAATAATTTCATTGGTTTTCATAATCATTAAAAGAAAATGGGATATGGTAAGGTTGAAAGAATTAGCAGAAAATTTAAGGGAAATATATATTCATACAATAAAACAACTTTGAAAAAAGAAAAAAATTTGCTTATGAAATATACACAAAGTTGTGTTTCAAATCTAACTTTTTCTTCTTTTTCGAAATGTCTATTTGGTCAAGTGGAACTGATATTACTCTTCATAATAAAGCCACGTTACTTGGCCTCTTATAAAAAAAAAGTAAGAAATTAGTTGTAGAGCACGTAATGAATGAGTGTTGAAATGAGGCGGATATGTGAAGAGAGGCGTAAAGGTCAGAAGTGACACCTTTCCAAAGATGGTTTGGGTAGGATAATGAACTCAATTTGTTCCAAATCAATTTGGAGGAGATTGTATACATGGGAAGGGTGGTTGTTGTAATAATATACACATTATTTTGTTATCTGATAATATATGTATATTTTTGTAAATAATTTGTAAATAAAATTATAGGTTATGGAAAAAATAATAATAGTTTCAAAATAGTGCAGCACGAGTTCACTTACGGCAGTCATCTGATTTTGGACAAGGTATAGACATCAAAGCATTTGAAATTAACAGTTTTTGATAAAAAGTGTATAATAGTTTATAATAATATAATATAAATAATTTTGAATTTTTTTTTAGAAATTAAAGTCTAAATGAAGAAAAGTATGAAAGAGAAAAATATGGAATTAAAGTATCTCAAAAATATAATTTATCATTAGGTTATATTTAAATATATATAATGACCAATCATCAATCCAAAAAAAATTATTCATGGACACCTGAAACTAATTAATCTATAAATATAAACAGAAACTAGAGAAGTGAAGTTACAACAATTTTACCATACAGTAAAAATGGTACAAATAAAAAACAAAAACCAATTAAAACAATTTGGCAGCAAGAAAAGGAAATGACATTATCATTTAGAATTGGCAATCGTCCAGTTATAATCTTGAGTTAAATTAAGTAAGAGTCAAGCAAGACAATGTTAATAAAATAAGAATAATATAAGAGTTTATCTGACTAGAGATCATTCTCAACCAAAGGTTAATTTCCTAATCCATCAATAGATCAGAGACCCACTCTGTAAGATGCACCACCAAGGGTCACTTGAACCCAGATTCAATATGCAACTGATATAAAGTACAAACTTGACTAAGGACTCAAGGGAGATACACACTCCTAACATCTCATATGAGAATATTCAAAACACTCTTTTTGAAGAGTTGGATTTATTTTGTCTGTTATAGTTCATAAAATTCTAATTCATATTCTCATATGAATGGCAACACCATTAAAGCAAATCTAATTCACCAACCTAAGATTGATTAACTCAGATTAGCCATAGCTAATACTTTGATTTAATTATTTCAAGTTATTAAAGGGACACTGAATTTAATATAGTACAATCAAACCATGTATAGTAATTTAATATCACGAAAAACAAACAATAACATTAATAGAACAACAACATTAATGGAAAATAATGGATTACAGATACATGAATAGATAATGTTAATGAATGATAACAGTTCAGAATATACAAGTGAAGTGAGAGTTATGCTAAAATATGACCACAAATCTTGCAAGCATCAAGACACTATAATATCTTCAACCATCTGAGTACGATTATTATTATTATAAAATAAATAATACTAATCATTAATGGGAAAATTTTAAGTAATTTTCTTATCAGAATAAATTAAAATTATAGAGTTGAAAGATCTTAAACAAATATTCAGAACTTATGATAACATATAGGTAATGAAAACTTGTCTCAGACCATTCTTTTAATTTAATACAAGCTATAATTATATAAATTCCAGCTGATAAGAAAACAAATAACTAGGGGAGCTGAGCAAGACTTAAGATTTTGGAAAACTACAGAACTAACTTGGTATTAAATATTTCAACAATTATTTTAGTTTCTGATATGATATAATAGACAACTGGGAAGCAGAAGAAAATAGAATTTGACTTGGAGTGCATTATTGAAGAGTCTAAGAAAAATGTCATGTATTATACATCTACAAAGATTTTAATGTTAAAAAAAAAAAAAAATCTCTAATGAATAATATGGACAAAATCTACAACAAGGATATAACTAGACAGGTAATATAAATGTCCTATGATAAGTTATTGTCTGCCACTAAACTTATGTTCAAATTTGATAACAAAACTTAACTTCCTGTTTTTAATCAAATTACTACTATAATGGAAATAAAAGAACAACTGTAGGACTAAACTTATGTTAAAGTGTCAATATTCTATTTTAAAAACTTCTTGATACTACAATAGAATGTAACAACATAAATAATTAAGATCAATCTATAGTAATAGACAACTTTAACACTTTGCCAGCATTACAACATAACATAACAAAACTAAACAACTTGACATATTAAAAAAATAGTCTGAAAAGAGTTTACCTGTGGATGCATCACTGTCTATTTCTTCAGACTGCGAATTCACTTCAATTACTGACATCTTCACACAATTTGCAGTAACATGCACTCTTTTCACCAAAATTTACTCTATTAAGCCACATTTTACATAATAGTTATAGTCAGCTTATCACTTGAAAAAACGAAATTTCTGTTGTAAGTTAAAACTTGATGTAATAGCTATTTTTAATGACTGAAGTGAAACATCAGGTCAGTCTATGAAAGTAATTAATTGTAATGAACATAAATCCAATTAAGAATGATTTGCCTCACTTGGTGCCAAGAGTCCAGGATAACAATCACCAAAAATAGACTTGTTGCAGACTACTTATAGATATTTTCGTAAATAAAACAACATTGGAGTAGAAGGTTATGCCAGTTCGAAATTAAAAAGAAGAAAACAGATTGGTCAAAAACGCTTTAATTCAAACATAAAACACATACAACGATGTCCCCAAACAATATTTTCCGACACCATAAATAAATACTTAAATAAGAATGTATGCCCCATCCAATCCATTCATTGACTTCTCCCCTGGTGGCCTACAACAAAATATGGCCGCCACACCTCCTAAAGAATCTTTTCATTTAATAAAGTATATTAGAGAGGTACAAAATAGTTTGTGTATTGTTATGAATATAATTTTATCAAAATGATCTCAATTAATTAGCAAGATATGGTATCAATATCGCCTATGGAAGAGCCACTGAAAAAAATAAGTTCTGTAGTACCTATTAAATTGCCAATTATATTTTTTACAAATTTTTTAAATGTTCTTGTTCATTTTAAATCATTCTTCAGTCATCAGGTCTTCAGTTCGAGCCCAAGATATTATATATACTTTTTTTTCTCTCAGATACTGTTTTATTTTTATTTGATTATTTATTCTAAGAAATGTTTTATTTTCTTTCTGATTATAGTTAAGTATACAGTTTATTTTTTAATAATTTATTTAGTAAACTTTCATATTTCTAATTGTCTTATTTAGGCATATATATACTTTCTCTCTCTTATCATATTATGGAAATATGAATCTAGATGAGAGTTCGTCAAGTGAAGATTCGGAGGACGAAACGCCGTTTTCTGAAGTTTGCGAAACAAATTCGCAATATTTAAAAAGACGAACACTTCAAAAACGTCATCGAAACACTCCTCCTGGGTCGGGAGATAATTCACCCGACAAAAAAAAAAAATTAATCAGCTAAACCCAAACAGTTAGCAGAGCAAAAGAAATCCAAAAAGTCAACTGAACAAAATAAATCTACGAAAATTAAACAGTCTGCCTAGTGAAATAAATCACTATTTTAAACCAGAAAAATCAATTACCACCATAATACCAGAGCCAACTGCACCAACCACCACTACCACCAATAATCCTGTTCTCGGTAATAAATCATCAACCAATATTCCGGATCCTCAAGAGTTTTCTGAGCTCGAGCCGCCACCTATTTTCGTATCTAAAATTGATAATTTCATCACATTTGGTCAAGAAGTTGCCAATCTGAGTGGACAGACCAATTTCCGCTGTTTCTCCAGAGTAAAGGCCATTAAGATAAACACAAACTCTAGAGAAAATTACAAAATACTTATCAATTACTTCACGTCCAGAAACTATGATTGTCATTGTTATCAGTTAAGACAAGAATAGCTACATTGAAATGTGTTAGAGGACTATACTCAACCACCCTCATATCTTTTATCAAAATAGGCGTAGAAGAAATAGGCCACAATCTTAGATACATATGCGTACTACACCCAACGGAAAAATATCCTTTACCGATATTTTTGGTCGAGCCTGCCAGCAATAACATCGAAATATTTCAAGTGAAAAGGCTTATATATTCCACCGATAAATTTGAAGAGCCAAGACAATAGTCTATAATAGTGCAATGCACTAAGTGTCAAGATTCGGGGTACACAAAGACCTATTGCCATCATCAGGCCAGATGCGTGAAATGTGCCGGCCCGCATGCATCTGACACTTGTCAGAGACCTCGAGACCAACATGCGAAATGTGCCCTTTGCGGTGAAGAACATCCAAACTACAAAGGATGCAAAGTTTATAAACATTTTTATAAGAAGAGAGTTCAGAACATAGCTTTAAAAAGCGCAAATCAGAAGCAAAGATATTTCATCTATCCACCTGAAATGACAATCCGTCAAATAACTTACATTCTATCATTCTTCCTATTGAACCTCCACTATAAAAACTCTTATCACTCTTCTCATCAGAATCCCGACCGAAATTCCCTTCAATTTCTCACGACAAGCACAGAGCGCCTAACTATCATTTTACAGAATGCTGATGGGCTGCATAACCACCTTGACGAACTTGACATATTTCTTCATAGTAATCACATTGATATTGTTCTACTGTCTGAAATTCACTTTACTGAACAAGGGCGCTTTAGCCCCATATCCTCATATCTTGAGTGGAGAATCTGGCCATTGCTAGAACTCCTATATGTATAGTATAGTATTGTATATACAAACTACAAAAGGTCGCGGGGCCACTGTCTTTTTAACCTTCTTGGAGGATTAAAGGGATGGATAGTGATAGATAGGGATTGTGCTAGGGTTTTGGATAATTCGTAAGGTTCTGGTGAAATTTAGAGAATGATTTTAGGTTGGGGTCTAGGACAAATGAGGTTATGGTGGTTACATTGAAAGGTCTTTGGACTGGAAGTATTGGATGCGTTTGATATTAGAAATTTTTGCTGTCCCCAACAGTTCTAGTCCATCGGTCCAAATAGGTTTCAGGGCTGTCTTGTAGATCAATAATTTGTTGTCAGATGAAAGTGAGATTTTCTATTCAGTAATCTGTATCGTTGGTTATGTTCTTGTCATTTAAGATTAGTAGGTGGGTTCCGCGTTAGTCCTCGGTCTAAGAGAAAGCCATGATACCATATTGTGTCTGAAAAAGAAAGATGGGTGGCATTAAAATGGACTGGAGGACAGGGTCTGCGTCGGAGTGTAAAGGTAACGTATTTGTTTTTGGATTAGATTACTTTAATGCGCCATTTATTACACAGGTGCTCAATCGGCGAGAGGTGCCTTTGCAGATTTAACGATGATATTTGAGTTGGATGACGTTGTCATTAGTTAATGTTGCCAGGAAGATATCGGGATGGACAGGGATATCAGCGGTAAAGAGGATTTAGAGGACAGGACCCAAAACGCTATCTTGAGGCAAACTGGTCTCAACTGGATAGCAATTGGAAAATTCTATACAACAGCGAACTAGAAAGTTGCAAAGGTGCAATCAGAGAGTGCAGGACCAAGAATAAAAACTGGGGCAGTTGGGTTATAAGCTTAAAAAGCAGCCCGGCGTGTCATACGCGGTCAAAAGCTTGTACTATGTCCAGAAATGCACCGGAGCAGTATCGCTTGCTTTCTAGAGCCGAGGAAATATGATCAACCATTCGCAGTTCTGGGTGGACTGTGGAGTGAGTGTTGTTGTCGAAATCAGAACTGATGGTAGATTTTGGATTTCTATAAAGGATGTGATTCGTTTCAGGAGAATCCTTTTCAAAGATTTTTGAAAGTATTTGAAGTAGGCTAATTGGTCTATTGGATGTCAAGCTGCTGGAAGGTTTGCCTGGTTTTGGAAATAGAATAGTAGTAAAATGTTTCAATAAAAGAGGAAAGTGGATGGTTCGTAGGATGCTATGTTATACGTAAGTGAGGAATATAACAGCTTTATGAGGAACTTGTCGAAGGTTCTGAGAGATAATGAGGTCATCACCAGCAGATTTACGGGTAGATAGTTTTTGTAAGTGATGTTTTAACTCAAAAGGATTAACTGCTTTAGGGGTAAGGAGAGGAGGATGGGTGAAGTAAGGAATTGTACTGCTGTGATGTTTGTGGGATTGGATTCCGGATGAGAGGTGAGTGTAATGGAAAGGTGTTTGGCAAATTGTCCGGCTTTACCTTTACCAGATGCTACCCAAGAGCCATCATCTCGACGGAGAGGATGTGAAATATAATGAGGTTTTAGGATTTGTTTAGTGATCTTCCTTAGGGAATTGTCGTGCACAAAGAGGGAAGTAAGGTAGTAGTTGAAAGATTGGGATCCGAATGTGATTAATTGCTGCTGTAATTTTTTACAGTAATAATTATAGGAGCGACGGTCGGTGGGATGTTTGGTACGTTGCCATAACAATATGGCACGGCGATTGGTGTGGATTAGGTCTATGAAGTGTTGAGGTAAATTATTTTCCTTAGGGATCCTTGAAAAGTGATTTGGGGAAGAAGCAGTCCAAATTGTTTGTTGTATAGTGCTGGTACAGGAATGTGCGGTATTGTCAAGGTCTTATGGGGTATTCAGGGTTATTATAAGGGCAATGTTGTTGGAAAGGATTTCATGAAAGAGTTTCTAGTTAACTGGGATGATGAAGGACGATGGAGAGGTTTTAGGAATAGGCGGCGCTAGAGATAATTGTAGTATTAATGGACTCGGATCTTAGGAAAGTTCGACCAAAATATTAGATATAATTTCTCATTAATCATCAGATTTACAAAGATATATTGTTTACTAAAACACACACACGCACGCACGCACGCATTCTGTCTATTATTTCCAGAAATTCATTTATACTTAAGAAGTAGAAACTGTTAAGCCCATAAACTGTTGAGGTTATTTAAGAAAAAAAAATAGGCTTATTGCTGCAACAAGTAGATTTTAACTTTTTGTTTACAATTTAAACGTGACATTCAACAAATCCATTCGTAGCAGGTTCTGGAGATATAAGAGCTATATATATTGTGGTATTGATAAAAAGAATCCGGATAAGATGGATAGATCATGTGGAAAGAATGGCAAAGAGGATGCTCTATGAGAAGCCGGATGGCAAAAGAAGGAGAGGACGCCCTCGGATCAGATGCCTGAAGGATGATCTGAGGCGACTGGGCGTTTGAAGATGGATGAAAATAGCACAAGACCTTGGAGATTGGTTGGCTGTAGTGGAGGAGGTCCGGGTTCTTGCAGGACCGAAGCACCATTGTAATGATAATACAAAGTAACAAAACAACAACGTTGTTTTCATGATATAAATGAAAATTACCGTACTGAATAGGACTCAGCCCCCCTTCGTTTCTTATTGGTAGCAGAAGTAACAATTGCAATAATTCTATAATCGCTATATTAATTGAATTATTGTAATTGGTACTGGCGCTACCAACTTGAAACCGAGGGGGAGGGAGTAAGAGAAAATCAGTCTGGTCATGCCGCTAGAACAAATAATATTTCAATTTCCTATTATTGACTGCTAAAAGTTAAATATTGATTTATTGAACATTAAGTTGCACATCACATCTCGGGAAAGAATTCGAATGCGGGCATCATCGAAACCATTACCAAGAATTCAAACTCTCTTGGTTTCAGTGTTGTTGATTAGCGATATAGTAATTAATGATTAATTAAATTAAACTGTATTAAGATAAATAACAATTGATATAAAATCGTTTCTTTACGAAATCAAAATTATAATTCAGGAGTGCATTATATATTTTGTTTATACATTTTTGCATAGAATATTTAATAGATTTTGGTAAACACTTTTCGACATTTCTCAATAGAAAAAAGATCTTTTATCTGGTTTACTTGAATGAGTTGATCAAGTTAACCTGAATTTATTTATCAGTCCAGCTGATAGTGACGCCTAATCAGCTGTTCATGATTAATCGTTTAAACTATGTTGTATTTGTTTCTTTCATGTAATTTTAAATTTACCATGGAATAGAATTAAAAAAAAACTCCTGTATTATTTTTGAAGGATCATTAGTCATCATGGGTTTATTTGGTAAAACTCAGAAGGAGGATCCTAAAACACAGGTGATTTCCTATACGTTCATAACCTGCAAACCTGACCAGATAATTTTCTATCAAAACAAATCTTGTTGATTATTTGACTTTTAGTTACTTTCAAAACACATTGCTTTATTTTAATGATTATATTCTTAATTTATATGATTGTTGAAACTGCTTATGAGAATAGATAATTTAAATTTGTTTTGGCTTAAAGTAGTTATCTTTTACTACAGCATATCAAAAATAAAGTATATATTCACAACTGAGGTTGATGAAGGAATAAGACTTGGCATTAAGTTAATGACATTGAGATTTGGGCTTGTTTGTAAATTGACATTTGTTGGCTGAATGTCAGAGTTTACTGCATGAAATTATAAGTGTTTGCTGAATAAAATTTTTCATGTTTTATTTAATTTAATCAAACTCAAATTTTAAAGCTGAAAGGCAATATGTGGCCAAGGCAATTTCCTCTAGATTTATGTGCTCTACAAACAGGATAGTGTGAAGATTGACAATAACTTAATAATAATATAATAATAATAAATAATAATAATAATAAGGCTTAGCGAACCTGGAGGTTCAATGCCGACACCACCAATCGCTTGTTACACACCTCCCTCCACCGTTCGCCGTCCAAACCCAGTTCCTTCAGATCAGCTTTAATGCAATCTTCCCACCTTCGCTTCGGTCTACCCCTCGGACACTTACCATTCGGCACAGCAAATATTAACCTTTTAGGAATTCTCTCGTTACTAAGCCCAACAACTTTACAAGCCCATTTGATTCGCCGCGATGAAATTACCTCAATTATATTACCCGGATACAGCTCACGCAATTCGGCGTTGTGTAACCGTCTGAACCAATAACTTATATAACCATCTGACAATAACTTAAACCTCCTTTAAATGTGTTATAATCCTCATTTTAAAATACGTTTTAAAAAAGAATGTAAACATAATGTCTTCTGTGAGAATCTTAACAGTGTTAATTAAATGGCCACTGTTTTAATTGAGTTTGACACTCCTGATCTGTATGATGGTTTGAGATGTGTGATCAAAATGAAAGCAGTGGAGATATATTTAATTGCATATTTTCCTCTGTAAATAATATAAATTTGCACTGTATCGACTGTAATCAGTAGAATGTGGGGTGGAATTTTAGAACATGATTATCCAAGTTTTGTATATTTTCATGCAATATTTTGGTACTTACAGCGGCCTCTGTTAGACCAAATTAGCTGAAATTTTGGTATATAGAGTTGGTTTCCAACAGGAAGTGTACCATTAAAATTTTGGAATAAAATTGACAACATTTTAAATTTTTGAGGAGAGTAAATACTAATTTTTTTTATAATCCGATTCCATGTATCAGTAATAAACTTCAGATCTTCCCTTATGTTTAATGTTTGTTTCAAATATTTTTTATATTTATAAAAAACTTATAAATAAAAATTAATAAAGAACAGAAGGATAATTGGGGTGATGAGTTAAAATATAAATGGCTAAAATAAATAATAGTATTTATTTTAACATTTTCCGACGTTTCGACCTGAAGTTCAGGCCTTCATCGGGGCTGAGAAAAGAACCAGATAACAATAGGTATGAGAAACATAAATGAAGGCCTGAACTTTGTGTCCAAACGTTGGCAAATGTTAAAATAAATATTATTATTTATTTTTGCCATTTTTATTTTGATTGATCACTCCAACTATTCTTCTCTTCATTGTACACTACAGTTAATCATCAACCCACAATTAAAGATTAATCTACAAATTGTGAGTGATTATTTATTGTATTGAGTCTACAGGTTTTTGTCCTACTTTTTAGTAAGGTTGAGAGAATAAATACTTTTAAAACAATCCTATCTTAGCAAATAGATTTTATCCGAAGTCGTAGGGAAAGTCATGTGTGGGGATAAGCCATACATATTTAATTATAACTTTTTGAAAATAGATTTAACAATGTTAAACACACTATATTATATATATATTAATGTAGAGATGGTTGACCGTTGATATAATATGAGAAGGAGTTAATCGGGTGGTGCGGTCAAATAAATACTAAATTAAAATATAGTAATTATTTAATTTTTGCCGATGTTTCGACCCACTTTGCAGGTCGTCTTCAGGGCATAGGATGTAGCACTGCGGGAGGCAGTTGAAACCAATTCAACTGCCTCCCACAGTGCTACATCCTACGCCCTGAAGACGACCTGCAAAGTGGGTCGAAACATCGGCAAAAATTAAATAATTACTATATTTTAATTTAGTATTTATTTGACCGCACCACCCGATTAACTCCTCATATATATATATTACCCTCTGTAATTGTATATATATATATGTACAATTTCATAGGATCTGGCTGGCAGATTCACATTTTAGATATTACAAATACATCACTAATACTATACGTCACAAATGTAATGCATATCAAAGTTATAGATAATAGTATGACATATCTATAACACAGAATGTTAACCATTAAAACATTTACAATATAGAATGTTTTAGGTGAATGAATGGACTCATAAAATTCGAAAGGAAGGCTATCAACTTGATCGTCAAATTAGAAGTATGTTATCAATCAGTGTTTTTTTTGTATAAGAAAAATTAATTTGTTAATTTTAGCTGATAATTGTTTGAAAATAAATGGCCTAGAAACATTTGGATTAATGCTTTATTCTCTTTTATCTTGGAAAATTTTAGTATTGACTTGACCACTGTTAATTCATATATCTACTTTATTCAGCCTGAGCCGTCATTTATATTTTTATATTTAGTATTGATAATTGGTAAGCAGATCAGAGTGAGCGTTAGTCAATTGAAAATTTATTCGGCTAAAAAACAGCTGCATTTTTAGTCAGAATTTCTAATCACGAATAAACACATGTTAAAAATGATCATAATTTTATCTGAATTAATAAATAATGAATTAATAAATTTTATCTGAAGTCGTTTATTTACGACTAAAATTCCAATCGAATAAATTCCAAAAATTTAGTTGAATAAATAATTATTTGAATAAAATCTGAATAATAATGCAGTGAAAGTTGTTATTATCCTCATATATAAATGTTTATAGTTTCCACTATTGCTGCTGAACCACTCACAGAATTCCGTTTTCATCATATTAAATCCTATTATCTTGAAAAAAAAGTTTTAAAACACCTAACTGACTGTAGTGATTAACAATCAGAACAATAAATGAATGAATTTTGAAATGTGATTGATTGGGTGAGGGGTGCACAACTTTTTCCAAACTTATGTTGTTGAAATGTCATTTATTTTTAAAATATACAAGATATCTAGATCTTAGCAGTCTGCTGGAATAAGTATCTGCCGAGAGTGAGGATAATAAACTAATAAAATACTACTAAACACCATGTGCTGCTCCTATGTTCATACATCATATCAGAATCAAAAAGAAAAGTAAATAAAATGGATCCTTTAAAAAGCAAACCACACATTTTATGGAATCAGGAAGAAATCCAAAATATAATCTAAAGTTTAATCCTAGATGTGTCATTTTCTAGAAATTTGACACAGTATTTATTTATTTAACATAGTTCCAACTTATCATTCTGTTTTACACTCCTAGCTTGTTGAAAATAATAAATAATCTCTTATTTGATCAAAAATTTATTATATGGGAAATGATAGTTATTCATCTGGAGGTGGTAGTTTGATTTTATAGAATAGAATAGAAAATTGAATTTTATCTAGATGACAGCAGTTATTTTTCGATTTAGACATTTCCCCTTGAATACAATATATTAATTATTATATTATCTTCTTCTTCAATGGGCGCTACAGTCCTTGTAGAACCTGGGCCTCTGCCACCACTCTCCTCCACTCCTCACGGTCCGCAGCAAGATTCCTCCAATTTCTGATCCCCAGCCTCCTCAAGTCTTCTTCCAGATCATCCAACCATTGGTGTCTGGGTCTACCGCTTTGTCTTTTCCCTCCTGAAGTACCATTCAGCATCATTTTTGGAAGTCTACTGTGATCTATTCTTTCAACATGACCCAGCCATCTGAGCCTGCCCTTCTTAATGACACTAAGGATGTCTCCATATAACTCCATTAACTCTGTGTTGCTTCTTATTCTCCATCCATACTGCTCTCTGACAGCTCCTAAGATCTTCCTTAGGACTCTTCTCTCCCACACCAGCAAGGCTCTCCTGTTTTCCTTGGTCATATTCCACGTCTCACTGCCATACAAAACGACCGGTCTAATCACCGTATTATATATTGCTATTTTTGCCTTCCTGGACAGACTTTTGTATCGGAGTGCCTTTTGCAGAGCATAGGAACATCTAGTTCCTGCAACCATCCTGCCTTTTATTTCTGCTTCCATATTATTGTTTTCTGTCACTACTCCGCCCAAGTACTTAAATTTATCACAGTTACGAAACATGTCTTCTCCCAATTCAACAGTATCTTCTCTCTCTCTCTGGTAAGTCGGGATGTTTTCATATACCTCGTCTTTTCCACGCTTATAATGAGTCCTAACTCTTGAGCTGTATGCTTGAACTGTTCTATAGCGCCGGCTTGTGCTGCTTTAGTTCTTCCTGATATAACAACGTCATCAGCATATGCCATGTGTTGCGTGAGCCTATTATAGATGGTACCACCAGGGTTCGTCTTGATTTTCCGAATTGCAACCTCTAAAGCGAGATTGAATAGTACAGGAGATATCGGGTCCCCCTGTCTTAAGCCACTGTTAACCTCGAAACTGTCTGACATACCCACTCTGGTTTTGATCATACAGCTTGTCCTTTCTGTGGTCATTCTGGTCAATCTTATTAGTTTACCAGGAATCCCCAGTGACTGTAAGGCTTCCAATAGCTTACTCCTGTTCAATGAATAGGTGATGCAGGTCTATATTATATTCATACACTTTCTCCAGCATTTGTCTGACAGAGAAAAGGTGGTCAGTAGTCGATCATCCTGTGCGAAAACCACTCTGGTATTCTCTCAGAATTCTTTCACTCCTCTTCACTAGCCTTCAACATATTGCCACTGAAAAGATTTTATAGACTGTGGGCAGGAGTGCTATTCCCCTGTAGTTCTCACATTTGAGTTTATCTCCCTTTTTAAGTATAGGGACTATGATAGCCTCTCCCCATTCATCTGTCATTTTTTCTTCTGACCATACGTCCCATATCATCTTGTGAATCTCATTCCATGTGTCTTCTTCAGCATGTTTTATCAATTCCGATGGTATTCCATCAGACCCTGGAGACTTATTGTTTTTTAGTGAAAGAATTATTTCACCAATTTCCTCTCTATCTGGTGGTACATCCTCATCAATATTCTCATTACCTGATTCATACATGTGGGTAGTGTGCGTGTTATTTGCTTCTACATTTAGTATTTCTTTAAAGTATTGGGCCCATCTCCCCTTGATTTTGTCATTATCAGTGAGAAGGTTTCCATTTTGGTCCCAACAGAATTCTGTCTGTTGGCTAAAGCTATGTCGTATCCATTTAACGCCCTTGTAGAAAACTTCCTACTCTCTTGTGCTGGAAACATTTCTTGCCTCTCTTCGAGTTTCATCGTTTCGTATGCTCTTTTCTTATCACGCATAACTCTTTTAGCCTTTCTTCTTTTTTACGAGTATGCTTCATATGTACTGCGTGTTTTCCTTTGGGTCATTTTTATCCGAGCTTCATTTCTTTCTTGAAGGGCCTTCTCACAATCATTATCAAACCAAGGATTCCTTTTCTTAATCTTTTCCCTTTCTCCCAATACCTCTCTTGCCACCTTCCTGATAGACTCTCTTAATTTTCTCCACCTTTCCTCTGCGTTCATCTCTTCTCCACTCCATTCTGCACTGGCACTGTCACTGAAATTTTTCTTTATACACTTGTCTTGTGGTTTCGTCCATCAACTTCTCGATTTCACAAGCATATGCTTTTGCCCCCAAAGTCTTCTTTATACGTGCCAGACGTTGTTCATATTTCGCCACCACCAGGAAATGGTCAGAGTCACAGTCTGCTCTCCTGTAGCTATGTGAAATGAAATGAAACGAAAAAAATATTTTATTATTCTGGGACTGTTGTCCCTTAAGAACAAAATATAAATACAGATTGTATGTCTGTGCGGTTACAATTTGATTGTATATTTACAATAAGAGTTGACTTAAGATAAAAATACTGAAAAGAACAAGTAAATTGTACAAATCAAACAAGTAATGAGAAACTAAAATAACATTAATAAATTGAGGTAGTCTCTGGCAGTGCTTAGATATTTCTCTTAAGTATATTTCACAATCAGTCGGATTGAGAAAGGAGTAGGTTTGAAAGAGGAAACTGATTGAGCATGTCGAATATCAGCAGGGATGGAATTTCAGAGGGAGGCAGCTTGTATTGCAAAGGATTTGTCAAACGCATCAGTTCGGTGAGGAGGAGAATAGAGGTCGGAAATACGAGATCTGGTGGGACGAGATTGGATGGAGTATTTGAATTGTAAGCTGTGAAAAATATAGGAGGGTCGATGAGTTCTAATGATTTGGTACAGAAAGGTGGCTAGGAAGTACTGACGGCGATAGGATGGGTAAAGCCACCTCAACTCAGTGTAATACTAGGTAATATGCATATCCCTTGAGATTCCGAAAACAAATCATAGTGCACAATTCATTAGGCGTTTAAGTTTGGCCTCGAAATCTCCCGAGAGTCCACTGTACACCATACAGCCATAGTCGAAGTGGGGGAAAACAAGGGAGGAAACTAGGAGTTGACGGGACTTATATGGGAGGAGATATCGTAGACGATTGAACTGGGAGATGTGAGGTTTCCAGGATAGGGATTGATCAAAAGTAACACCTAGGTTTTTAACGGTGGTGTGGAATAAGATAGGTGAGTTGTTCAGGAGAAGATTGGGAGATACCGGGGAGGATTTGAGGAGTGAGGAGGATCCAATAAAGATGGCTTTTATCTTCTCGGTGTTCAGAGTGAGCCTATTGAGGTTTGCCCAAACACTTATTCTGTCAATGTCTTTCTTAAGTTTTAGAGTGGCATCTGAGATATCTGTCGGATTAAAGGAGAGGTAAATTTAAATGTCGTCGGCATACAGGTGGTATTGACAGTGCAGGATAGAGGATGGGGAGTCATTTATATAGATGGAGAAAAGGGTGAGGGATAAGGAAGAGTCTTGTGGGACGCCTCTTGTCAGAGGTAGAGATTCTTATGGGGGGTTATTAGGAATTACAACGTACTGGGAGCGACCTGTAAGGAAGGATTGGAACCAATTAAGGGAACTAGAAGAAAAAGAGATGCATCCGAGATGTGAGAAAAGTGTCTCGCGTCTATCATTACATGGTCTATCTGACTTCTAGTTCGGTCTCCTGGACTTATCCATGTTTCCTTATGAATATTTTTGTGGGGAAACATAGTAGTCATAACACTCATTCCTTTAGACATGGCAAATTCTACTGTTCGAAATCCATTATCATTCGTTACTTCATATCTGCTATGTTGTCCAATTGTGGGTTTGTATATTTCTTCCATGCCTATCTGAGCATTGAAATCTACAAGCACAATCTTAGTGTGATACTGTGGTATCTGCTCGTATGTCCTGGCCAGATTGGTATAGAATGTTTCCTTGTCCAGTTCCTCCGCATCTTCACAAGGGGCATGCACACTAATCAGTGATATATTGCAGAATCAACCCTTCATTCGGATTCTGCAAATCCTGTCACTAATGCAATCGTACACAATTAGCTCATGTTAGATATTTTTCCTAATCATGAAATCTGTGTCTCTTTGATTTCTCTTAGATCCACTATTTATTAGGATGTGCTTGCTAAGGAATACAATATCAATATCTCCCCACCGGATTTCCTGTAGAGCCAATACATCTACTTTATATTGTTCCAGTGCTATCTCCAGAGCTCTGCTTGCTCCTGGCTGCAGTATGCTTTGGACATTCCAAGTCCCGATGCTCATTACACATCCACCCTTTCTCGTTTTCCTCTCTCTTCTTCCTCTCGAGCATCTTTCAAGATCTGGAGTAGGTAGGGACCCCCTCCCCCCCATATCCCAATGGATCCCTCTGGGGGAATATCTATGTTTTTGGCCTTGCTGTATCAAAAACTTCCTACCGGCAGTTTCTGGACTGTACTTTTTTTAATTGAGGTGTGGTAGCCCATCCCTCATGCTCAACCCTCCTCCTTTATCCAGGCTTGGGGCTGGCTTCGGTTCACGTAGCAGCACTAAGGATAGCACACTACACCCACTGGCGGAGTTATTATATTATATATAATATTATTTATATTATATTGTGATATAATTATAATTATTATGAAATAGAAAAGCAAGCACAATATAACAAACAATGAAAATATTAGAAATAAAAGGCTTAAATTTTTGTTGGGCTTATCTGAAGCTGGACAAATTGAATATATATTATGGTTAAAAATTGGCAACATAGATTTTTAAAGTAATTAAAAATTTGTCCGAGGTGTAGTTTTGTTCAGTTTATTTTATGTTGATAAAAACTAATACAATCTGAGCTACAGAATCAATGTAAATTGAAGTTATACAATTTGAGCAATGAGTTTTATAATTAAATGAACAGATGTATAATTTGTAAAATGGAGGTACTTCCTTACAAATTATACATCTGTATATATGTATATATATATATATATATATATATATATATATATTTTTTTTTTTTTTTTCATTAATGAGTTTTTATTTTGTTATATTTATTATGTTGATTTATTTTTTAAGGTATTCAAAGGGAAGAAGAAAAAGTGAAACGATCTTTAAGAGAAGCAGCTAAGAAAGGCGACAAAGCTGTATGTACAATTCTAGCTAAAGAAATTTTAGGAGCTCGCAAAGCCATCAGCAAAATTCATACATCAAAAGCTCATTTGAACTCAATTCAAATGCAAATGAAAAATCAACTAGGTAATGGTTTATTAACACATTTACAAATTTAGTAGATTCTTTTTTATTGTTATTACAATTATTTATTAGTTGAAACATGTATACAAATTTTATTTGTTATGGTTAACCAACTTGTAAATCAGTAAGAGATGATCTAGGTGTTGGTCCAAAATCAAACAAAAAATAGTGATAGCTATTTAATGATATTTCGATCTGCCTCCTCGATTGTTCTGTCGTTTTACTTATGTATACTTATTAGGAAAGTATGATGAACTAAATGTATGAGTCAAATATACGATGTATTGTTTTCAAGAGAATTTTATAATTCTCTCAGCCCACTGAATCTAAAAAATGTATTTCTGGCCATTGGTCTATGTGTGTCTGTGCCCCAATTATCTTTTGAACGGATAATCCAACTTTGTTGATTCTTTTTTTGTTTTGGCCTTAGATGTCTTTGTCATACATTCTTGTAAAAAGAATGTTATGATAAATTATATAGAAAGGTTATTAAATTAAACTCCCCATAATACAAAACAAAAAATTAGCATGAGTTGGCGTGTTGGCGTTTCTAACTCAGGGGTCTCCGAACTACGGCCGCGAGACAGATCCGTTCTGCAAAAGTTTCTTTGATGTCATGGTAAAATTTTAAAAATATGAAATTTAGCAAATTACTCACACACGAAGTTACTACAACATGTAGTACATGAGTTTTATCTTTTATAAAGCTCATTTTAAAGCTGAAATGTTAGAACTAGATTTTTTTTTTCATCACAAGCCTTGGGTTATGAGACTTAGATGGAAGTCTCAATGCGGCCTGCAGAACTTAGTCAAGATGTCTATGTGACCTGCTGGCCATAACTTTTGGAGATCCCTCGTCTAGCTTGATATTGTTCTCTGGGTGGTAGTTCATATTTCCCCCCCCCCATTTTTGGTAAGCCCATTTTTCCTGCTCAGCTGCCCTTTGACCAAACTGTCTAGGTCCCTTGGTATCTGGTATCTATTATCATTTAGTCTCATATCTATTGTTCTTCTAAGCCGATAGATTGCACTGGGTCGATGACGCCTAGTATATTGAGCTGCTGTGCTCCATTAGACACGCTCAAAGATCATGTCATATAATACATTTAACACCCGTTCTCTTGACTTTAGTTTCTGAAATAATTCTAATACCAATTATCTCCTTGAAGGTAAGATTTTTCGAAAGATGATTAGCCATCCAAAAAGCCAAACTTTAAAGTAAAAGTAAATATAAAAAAAAGCTGCAAATTATTTCACAATGGTTTATTATTTCCAAACAACTATACATCTAAAGTAACATTACCTTCCTAGTTACTAGAAAAATAAATAAATAGAAGGTGATTCCAATTATTGGACTAAACTTTTTTTTTTAATCATTAGTAATGTGATAAAAAAAAATAGCATTACTTCAGTAACAAATTTAATTAAAAACCAAACAAAGGATATAACATTTGGAAAAGAACATATAAATAAAACTGGAGACCATCTCTTTGCTCCTAATTGTCCGATTTTAACGATTTTTTTTTTTTTTTAGGAAATTCCGTAAACTTTTAAAAAACCATGTACAATATCGACAAAAAAGTGTGTACTTTTTGAGTTATTCGGAATTTAATTTTACCATCCCTCGTAACTTTTTTTGAGCTTCTTTTCGTTGAAGTATGTAGTATAGATAAATTTAGAGGGGGTAGAGAAAATGACTTTAGCGAAGTTTCATCAAAATCGGTTCATTCGTTTAGGCGCTACAGTCTATAGCAACGCAGGTTTTTCGGCCGCCATTTTGAAAGGAAGAGGCGGATAGAAATGTCATTGAAGGAGGATCATTCTAGAGTATAGGAGAAAGACATGAGCCTTGTGATATTCCAGTTGTTAGGTATTTTTTATATATGTAGTTATTTGTCCTAATTTCAATCGTCCTGTCTTCGAAAAAACTGGAGTATATATATATATATATATATATATATATATATATATATATATATATATATAATATCCATATATACCAAAATAATGGTGCTTGAATTGATGGTGCTCCTAGTCAGTTGTCAGTTTTTTCTATTTTCATTTCATTTGGGAACATGTGGTAACTGGCTCACTTAACTATCACACTTCTAGTATTTATAGATTGTACTTTTATGACATTATTATCTATTCTTTTTTTTTTTTCATGCATCATAAATAAATTTATAAATAAAACTGCTTTTATATTTAAAAATCTAAAAATAACGTTTTATGCAGAAAATCTTTAAAATGTACTATTCGGTATGATAATATCAAAACTTACAACTTTGTTCAAAATAAAACTATTGTCAATAAAATATCTTCTTGAATTAAATTCCTGTTATGGATTTGAATTTAGCAAAAAAACATGCAATTGTATCAAAATCTGGTCTCTAATAGTTATAGTAATAATAATTTTAAATTTTTGTATGATAAATAAACTTCTTTTAATACTGTCATTATAAAGTTACATTTATTTTATAGCTACACTTCGTGTTTGTGGTGCCTTGCAAAAGTCTACAGAAGTCATGCAGTCCATGCAAAGACTGATTAAGGTTCCTGAAGTAGCTGCCACTATGAGGGAGCTGTCAAAAGAAATGATGAGGGTAAGACCCTTTTTTTAAATTATACCATTTGCTTATTGATTTATAATATTATCTAATGAAATGGATTCTAGGCTGGAATAATTGAAGAAATGCTCGAGGAGACTATGGACACAATTGAAGATCCAGAAGAAATGGAAGAACAAGCTCAGGAAGAAATTGATAAGGTATTTTTGGAAGTTTTTTATTGTTGTTTTTATGCACCAACTTTTGTCTTCAGAAAAAAAATCATTATTTCATTTATTTATGGATCCAAACCATTAAAATTTTGGTTTTATGATTGATTTGTTAACCCTTTAACAATGGTGGATCCATATATGAGTCGATAGGATATTTTTTAATAACTCTTCTTTTGATATATAGACTGAGTAATTGATATTTTAATCCTCCTCACCCATAATGTATCAAATAATAAACTCACCAAGTTAACTTGATTATCAAAATTCATATACCTCAAATAATAAATTTTTATCTCTTTACAGAATATATTCTTTATAAACAATATATGTCTGCAAAATATTCTGATTTGTTGCCACTGAAAGGGTACCAACCGAAAAATACCCCTACTAATAAATATTTTCCATATTACATATACAGATGTGCAAAATATTGATAAAGTTGGGACTTAATAGTTCATTAATTTGAGAACCATATGTATATACTTGAAGAGAAGATTGTTTGGGGTGATATTAGAATCTATAAAACCATTATCCTACCTGCAGTTCTTTATGGATGCAAAACGTGGTCGCTTACATTAAGGGATGAGCAGCGTCTTAAGGTTTTTGAAAATAAAGTATTATGTAAAATATTCGGGCCGAAGAAGGACGAGTTAACCGGAGAGTTCAGACGGTTACACAACGCCCAATTTCATGAACTGTATCCGTGTAATATAATTGAGGTGATTTCATCGCAGCGAATCAAATGGGCTTGTAAAATTGTTGGGCTTAGTAGCGAGAGAATTCCTAAAAGGTTAATATTTGCTGTACTGAATGGTAAACGTCTGAGGGGTAGACCGAAGCAAAGATGGGAAGATTACATGAAAGCCGATCTGAAGGGACTGGGTTTGGACAGCGAACGGTGAAGGGAGGTTTGCAATAAGCGATTGGTGGTGTTGGCATCGAACCCTTGGGTTCGCTAAGCCTTTTATTATTATTTTTTTATTATTATTAGTAGTAGTAAACTGCAATGATCAGTAGTTTTATAATTAAACTGTGCCTACAGTATTTTTAGTGCTCTGAAACTGTACTAATCAAGACAGCATTGTGTTCAAAATTATTATTATGCATTACCACGGGGGTTAACCCCTGTCTGTCTAATGGCGGACCAATCCCCATTTCATGTATCTGTTCATTTCATTATACTACTCGTTGCTCAAATTTCATAACTGTAGTTTGCATGCATTCTGTAGTTCAGATTGTATTATTTTTTTAAATTTAGTGTAAGCAGGAAAACATTTTTTTTTTTCAAGTCTATATCTCAGCATTTTAATTTGTTATTCCATTTTGTATATAAAATAAAATATTACATAGTCCCTAAAAAAATTTTTATATAATAGAGAAATGCTTGGCCTCCTCCCAGTGGGTCGAGCTTCCAGAACCTTTCGTGGATCTCTCTCCTCCTCCATCTGACAAACGTGGCTGGCTAAACCACTTCAACTGTCGGTTTTCCAGTACTGTCCTTAGCTCAGTTCATTTCGGATGTGGTCTCTCCTTGTCTTTCCAGCAGCTCTCTTCAGAAACTTCACTTCGGCTGCTTTCACACGGCTAACTTGCTTGTCCAGCATAAGCCAGCTTTTACTTCCATACCGTGAGGGTTGGGAGGTATACTAACTTGTATATGTGCCTTTTTGTTTCCTTGCCAACTTCTCTGTGCCCTACCATACTGTTGTTGATGGGGTAATAGACTTGATTGGCTTTGGATATCCTATTCACTACTTCTGGGTCAATCTTCCCCTTGTTGCTGATAATTGTCCCCAAATAGGTGAATTCTTGCATAACTTCAAGTACCTCCTCGTTACAGATCAGCTGGACGTCTTCTTGTTCATCTCTTGATACGACTAGGACTTTGCTTTGGAGCTATCGATAACCATACCTTTGACATTCTTCCTGCCATTCTACAAGGCCTGCTACAGTTTGTCTTTCATGTCTGCAATCAGAACGATATCATGGGCATATAGTAGGCTTTAGACCATGATATTCTGCATGTTCCATTTTCTGATGACCGTCCAAGCAGTACATGACGCTTAAAAATTTTTTGGTTTTCATCCATAAATATGAAGAACAAGAGGGGACTTAGGCTGCCTCCCTGCCTGACTCCTCTCTCCATGAGAAAAGGCTTGGACTCTCTACCATTAATCCTCTCAATTCCTTTTGATGCCTTATAAGCTGATCTAATTGCTGTGATAAGATCAGCTGAAAAATTTTTTGTCGACAAAGCATCCTATATTTCTTATCTTGGAACAGAGTCAAATGCTGCTTTGATGTCCTGAAATACCATATATATGTTCTTGTCTCTGTCCCATGCTTTTTCTGTGATGCCTCTTAGCACGAAAATGTGATCTTGAGTCTGCCTCCCCAATGAAAACCCGCTTGTTCGCTCTCTATTTGGTTCTCAACTACGACCCTTAATTTTCTTTCTAAGATTGAGGAGTATAATTTGTAAGCCACTGAAAGTAAGCTGCTATATTACATTTAAAAAAAAAAATGATAAACTGTGTATAGCTTAAATGAGAGGAAAGGAAAGAAAAACCTTTGTTCAACTAGTCAAGAATTTAATCAGGAAAGCAGGCTTTGTATTCATTTATATTTCAGTTTAACTGATTTTGATTGGGAAGCGGGTTAGTGGGATCATGCATATGCAAAACTGATTTTGCCCGGCAACCCGCTAAACCAAAGTTTACATGTAACAAACAATTACGAGATTGTGTCTCGGTACCGGATGGCTTTTAACTCTGGCATTAATCTTAATGCCCATAAAAAAAATCCATATATCTTGAAAGATGAGAAAGCCTTTTGAAAAAAAAAAAAACTTATTTTGGTTTTATAATCTTATCTTTGAAAAATGTTAAACCAGTTTTGATACTACAGGTTCTCTGGGAAATAACTCAAGGAACACTTGGGAAAGCCCCAGCTGCTGTCACAGAAACCCCTGGTGCTTCTGCGGTTGTTGCTGAACCTACTGTTGAAGAAGATCCAGAAGAACTAATGGAAATGCAAAGTCGATTAGAAGCACTCAGAAGCTAAAGGTGATTCCTTCTTATTTCTTATTTATATTCTATTATTTTTACTTCTCTTAGTTCCTTTTAAGATTAAGAACTGATGTCTTGCCTGTTAATATCTAATAATAATTAATTGCATCAACATCATTACAATATTTCTGTTTTTAAATACCTTTCCCCAATTTATTCAAGTATTATATTGCATTTTATAGAGGTAGGCGGTGACTTAGGAAAGCCTCATGGTCCTGAACCAATCAAGGGCTAATAAGGCCCAAAAATAAACTTTATCTTATAGCTAGACTTATAACGTGGAGCTGCAAATTTGTAAACCAGTGCCAGTAAATTTGTATAGTTAGTAAACCAGCAACATTTTTATTTTACTGGAAGATGTAAAACTACAAACCCGTTAGATCTATAGTATTTGCCATCCTAAAACATGAAATTACTGTCAGTTATTCCTTATCTAGGGATTTCAAGTAGAAAATTTGAATTAAAGTTGACTTTTTGGTTTTTTTCATACTACTTCCTGCCTCAGGGAAACTATAGGTTCTAGCAATGATAACTTTCTACATAAAATTAAACTTCAAAGAGTAATTATAACTTTAGATACAAAGTCTGAGATTTTGCAAAAAATTTATAAAATAAAAGGTAATGAAGGTAATACTGTTACTGCTTGAACGATACTAAAGCTGACAAAATTGCCAACAGAATTAATTATATTCATTTCTTCACCATCTTCTATAGCTAACGAGATATTCATTCCGATAATTCATTAATTAAAAAAAAAATTTCTTGTGTTTTTATCTTTATTTGAATAGCTAACTCTTTATGTTTAAGAAAGAAAGTTATTAAACATTAAAGTTCTTTATTATTTATTCTCTCACTTCAAAAGTTAGAGGAATTATAACTTTAGGTACTAAGTCTGAGATTTTTCAGAAAACTTATAAAATAAAGGGTAATGAAGGTAACACTGTGACTGCTTGAACGATACTAACTTTACAAACTTTTGTTTTGGAAAGCAACGCTAATTAAAACATATGTTTTTTTATATCTATATAAATAAAATAAAGATTTTGTCTGTACATTGAATAGAATCAACCTATTTTATGATATTTTTCCGTTTCATACATTGCAGACACCAAATCCAGTTTTAAAAATTTTTTTGTCGGTCTGGAAGTCCGCATGGTACAATGAAACTTTGTCAGGGGTAAGCTCCGCAATGGCTAATTATAGACTTTTGAAATTTTGACATTCCATTTAGGTTTGCTTGACTTAAAATATAGGCTTTAAATGAAAACAAAATATTGAGTAGAACCAAAGTTATGGATTCTTGAGTAATTTGTTTAGAGATCACGGTTAGGCAGTTACTTTGATTCTAATCCCAACCTACTCTACTGCGAGCCACATTTAAAAGTTGTACTACTCAACTGATGAAAAAAATTCTCACAACTCAACGATCAAACTCCTGAATACCAAACATCTGTAACGCGTTGTCACATAAAACGGGTAAAACACACTCATTTTTCAACTTCCCGAGCCTAACAAATATTGTGTATATTTTTAGGATTAACTAAATGGATTAGCCGGAAATCAAAAAATAAACTCAAAAATTTCATCCCGATCTCCACAATATTCAGATCAAGTTTTAATTTTACACGGATGTAGATTACTCAATGTCCAATGTTATTTTGCTAGCGAAAAAGTCAGTAGAGTTTAAAGAAGCGGAGAGACTACAACTCTTTTTGATTAATTAATGGAATCCACAATCTCACATAAATGAAAATTAAACATTTAATAAATTTTAATAGTTCGGTGGCGGTCGGTTTAGTTGTGTGGTACCTAAAAAAATAACAGAATAACAATGTTTTTGTTGTGGCTATTGCGAAACCTTGACTTCCATAAGCCCCGCCATAAAAAAAATCAAAATAACCCCTCTCCTCCCTTCCGACCCAATTTTATGAAATTGAATTTGGACCCTCCTCCCCCCATAATACAAAATCCATCTCAAAAAAAGATTCTAAAATTTTTACTATTCACCCGTCAACGATGGGTGCATCAGCTAGTTCTTTTATAAATCTGAATTAATTCATTGATAAACTGCTTATCAATGCACTACCTATCGCATCTCGGGTAGCCATGTGGGCTAAGGCGCTTGCAATAGGTAATCAAAGTTAAGCAACACCGAGCGTAGTTAGCACTTTAATGGGTGACTGCCTGATTTGAGTTACCGTCCATCAGGGAAAGCCACGCTGCCCGAGATTCCTCTTCTCTCGGGTATGTGAGGCCTGTCAGGCTACTGGAGGCTACTCACACCGACCGGACCTAGGACTGATGACCCTACCCCCGTGTACTTAAATCAGGAATCAGGATGTAGTCTAGGAGACCACATCTCGCTGTCAAAGATCTTCATGGTTTGTTGCGCCAACCGAAAAAAACAAAATATATATATATAAAATATATTATATTGACATGGTAATCCTGTTGATGGCCTAAACACTCGGTGACCTGGATATAATTTTAGCAAAGCCTGGACTTCGAAACATAAAACTTCCTTTGAGTTCTTCCATGAAGGTATAGATCTTAAGGCTGCCTGCGGGTGTGATACATTTCTTCATATATTCAGTATGTGGGATACCACCTCGACTATTTCTAAAAAAAAAACTGAGAATTATTAAACTGTATATGAACTCTCTAGACCCCCAAAATCCCTTCCTCAACAAAGTATGAAATGGTGGACACTAGGAAAAAGTTTATTTTGATGTGGTACGGCAAAACTCCCACCCCAATAAATCTTAAATATAATTGCAATATAAAGATGTAATAATTTTATTGAAATTAAATCTAAAGTATATTAACCATTTACGAGGTGTTCATTTAAAATGTCATGTATAAATAGTTATTAACTCTGGAATCTTCCTACTCCTATCACTTGTGGAGCGAATTTACAGTTAACACACGTAATAACTATACAGTGCATATTATATAGAAGATTATTATACCTCCTAAATATTAATAAAGAAGGAAGAACCAGTTACACTGCTTGTACCAGGATGTTATGCTTGCAATTAATCAATCCAGATTTAATTGTTCTCCTACTTTTCTCCTTCCATTCTTTAGCTATATTTCAAGTTACTCCAAATAAAATAAAGTCAGTAAATAATCTTAAAGTATACATTTATTTTTTAAAAATTTTAGAACTTAGTTTGTGGCACTGTTTTAATAAAGTAGAGGTTTCAAAATCCTCATAGTTATATATTCATATTTCAAATTATAAACCTTTAATTACAAGCTTTGTATTAAGGCTTATCTCATTCAAAATTCATCAGTGTTTTCAAAAATTATATTTAAATTTTTTTTTTATTAAAAATTAAATTAATTATCAATCTATATATATATATATATATATATATAAATGAATGTATGTTCGTTTGTCCATTATGCATTACTAAACCATTCATCCGATCACTATGAAACTTTGGGAAGTTGTTGTGTACACTCTCGCGAAGGTTTCTGGCATAGTACATCCGTCCTATGATAATTATAATTATATATGTGTAAAAAAAAATATCGCTATAGACTCGGGTCAAAACGGCTGGAACGATTTTAACGAAACTTTGCTAAAGTCTTCCTCTTGAATTCCTTTTAATTTATGCGTATAACATACTTTCCCAAAAACAAGCTGCAAAAAATGTTACGATGACATTAAAATTTTATTTGCCAATAACTAAAAAATTACACAATTTTTGATTGATAATACCCATATTTATTTGAAAGCTTCCTGAATTCCCTACAAAATAAAAATAAATCCATCGAAAGCGGACGATTCATTGCAGAGTTATAGAGTTTTAAACATTTACTACTTTCTCTTCAGCAAAGGCCATTTTCCTTTTTTTTTGTTATTGATTAATTGAAAGTTTTATAATTACTGCAGTAATTGAAATTATCATTTGAAGAAGTGATATGATTCTCCTTACGTAGGTCCATACTATTATATGCTCTTTATATTCATTTTTTATTTTTCCCCCAATGTATTTTGGAAGTTGTACGATACATCTCAAATATTTGATTTGCTATTATTTAAAAATATTTAATTCTTGAGTAATAATTATCATCATTTTATGTTCCTTTTGGGAATCAGTTTTTCATTTATTTCAGTTCATTTTATTTTTTAATAAATTATTTTCTTTAACATTACATTGGAATAAAGTTGTATTACTGTAGCATTTCTATCATGAATAAGGTTTATTTTTCCACTACAATTTTTATAACTCTATATTTAATCAAGTTGTTATTAAGAAGAAGAAAACAATCAAATATCTTTGGAGAGGTATGCAAAATCTTTTGAGGGAGGTGTAAGGCAGCTGTAATGCACACGGAATGAACGCTATGGTAAATGGCAAATTCAATGTTTCAATATACTACAATTTCAATGCATTGCCACATTTGATATTTGAAAATCTTGAACATTGAAACAGTATCGTAAAATATTTTTACCACATGAGTTGCTTTTACATCGAACTGATGGTGTGTTTTTAATAAATATGCACAGTTTCACCTTATATTTTATAATAGTAGGTATGTTAAACCATGCGTGTTTTAAATGCAACATTGCCAAAATTTCAAGGCAATGTGTGAAGAACTTTTCCACGATTTAAGGGTTTGAACAAATGAACATTTACACTTTTATTTGCCATAAAATAATCAACTCAAAGTTGAACATTAAATGTAAAAAAATATAATAATAAAATTAAACATGAAAATATATAAGTGGCTTCATATCAAAGACGGATCTTTGTCATTTTTAGAAAGCTGAGATAAAGTCAATTTTAGTTTTATAAGTTCAACTCAGACTGTTCACTGAATATCATAGGATATTCACTCTGACGATTAAGAATGTTCAAGTTGAATCATGAAAAAACATCATTAGAATTAGTTTAAATTGAAGCTATGTTACAGACAAATTTGTTTCTTAACTTTTTATAAATGACAGATGCCCTTTGGTATTAATCTGCTCATATGTGCTTTCTATTTTCTTTCTTTTCGATTTTGCCAGACTGAGCCACAGCAGGCTGTGGCCGGGTGAAGCTAGTAAAAAATAAAATATTTAATTAGGATTAACAAGTGATTGAGGAAGCTTAACATGAACCAATGTTTTTCAATTGAATTCATCAATATTAACTCCTTGAACATATTATATTAATACTATTTAATTTAGAGCTGTGGTAATTTAGTACAGATCAGAAGTTTTCTTTAAGAAAACATTTAATATAATTTATGACTGGTCCTTATTTTATAACTTTTTTTTTTAATTTTAGGAGCATTGTTTCTCAATTAAATAAACAACATTGCCTTATTCTACCATGATAGCCTAGACATTGCACGGCTTATGATAACTGATCAGAATTGGCTTTTAGATAGCAGAATCCACAATATTGATTTTCTATTACATTGTAAATATTTAAATTATTCGTTCTTAATTACAGATATCGTAGTTACAATATACACTTGTACATAAATTGTCTAATATATACATTAGATTGATAATAATATTAATAATTCATGTTTAATATGTTAAAGATATTTATTTTCTGTATATAACATTGGATTTTATTGTCTAATTTTATATAATTTTAAGTATTATCTACTTAACTTGTGTTTCTGTAGGTATTGTTTTGTTGAGCTGAAAGTATTAAAAATTATAACTAATTTCGTAAGATAAAGTTTGAATTTCATAAGTAATTAAATTAAAACATTATTTATAATTGTCTGATGTTAGTGGTGTAGTATATAGTCATTTTTATTATTTAAATTTTTGATTAGTTTGATTAATGTGATTAATGTAATATACTGTTATTATTTTTAAGAACAACTTTAGTTGAACAATGAGCACCATGTTCCAGTTTGATTTTTTTTTTTAACTATTGATAATTTTATTATTATTATTTTTAAGAATTTTTTTGTTGTTTATAAGTAAAAGTTTGTTGGTTAATGATGGTAATTAATAATGATTTTGGTAAACAAAATCAATTAATAACTGTTATTTTGTGCGATTATTGTACTTATAACTAATGTTAATTTCTTTGTGCTAATGTATTAACTTTTTAGAAATTATTTTTATGGTAAATATATATATTTAATACTTCCTATTTGTTTACAAATATAATTAGTTTTCACTTATTTTGTTTCCTTGTTCTTAACAAAACAGCTAATGTCAATGATATTCTAATGATTTCATTTCCTTATATTTGAGACCTATCTATTAAAGCTTAAAACTATAGATGTTTATTATTTACCTATAGCTGTAATATGAATATACACTATATATATTAATAGGCCCACTTGCTGGAATAAGTCCTCCCACCAGTACCAGTGTATATATGTATAGCTTAACCTGGTATTGATGCCCAAGGTTAAGCTATAGAGTAAGTAATGACAATTGTAGAGAAAGAGGACAAACGAGAACAGGAATAGAGTGATGGAGTGGAAAGGATCTTTAATCCAATAGAGCAGGTCAATTTGTGAAGATAAGTATTTTTTTATCAAAATGACAATTTATCAATCCAAATATTAAGATAATGACCAATTAGTTGAGTCAAACTGTCATAAATGGTTACAAAAAGTAGAGTTTTTATTAAATACAAGTTTTTGTTGCCGCCAGGTTGATAAAAACTGCAATTTTTTTCTTTTCCATATTGTTTTCTGACTAAAAGTATATTATTTACTGTTTTTTTATGTTTTAAATTACCTAATTTTTGTAAACAATAAGAAACATAACTGTAGTAGGTCCTGAGATAGAGCTATTTGAAGTATAAGATTTTTTAATAAAAATCTGGTGTCCGCAACACACAACTTTCTACTTTGAATAGAAATTATTTTCTGGCAATGTTGAGCAATCATGAAATTTTTGAAGTGCTCTTTTAACGGAGCTATAGCTTAAAGTTTACACCTAACAAATCATTAACACCATTAAAATAATAAAAACCCTATTAATTATATCAATGGTAGACAATAAAAACCACAATACTCCATCTGTTTTTGCAAACCACATAACTCCAATCTCTGAGCAATATATATATATATATATATATATATATATATATATATATATATATATATATATATATATATATATCTATATATATATATATATGCCTAGAGAGATTTGAAAGTATATCTCTATATTCAATCTATAAATGATTAGCCTATAGCAGAGTGGTTAGAGAGCTATACTAGTAAAGTAAACATTATAAGATCGAACCCCGGGAAGTTAGACCATTACCCTCTTAATTAGGGGAGGCCTTCAGGTTGTAAAATACTTGAAATAACAGGATAGGAAAAAAATGTATTCAAGATTATAAACATATGCTTTATACATCCATGAATTTTTTTTATATTTCACTTCTTCTTTCACATAAGTACTATGAAATAGTTTATTAAACTATGCCATTGCCTTGATTAGGTGGATTTTAAATATTTTTGGTGGATTTCAAATTTAAAATAGGCTTACATTTAGTTAGTAAATTTCATTTAATTTCCTTGAAAACATGTGATTTCCGTTAATTAATATTAGTTTTTACAAATTAATATTTATAATTTTTGGTCACTCTCCATCACTTTCTATGACTTTCTATATCAGATATTGTTTTTTCTAAAATTCTTCGCTTTCCGATATATAATACGTATACCTTCTGACTAGTATTTCCGGAAATTCATTTTTGACCTAAATAAATATTTTCTCTTTTATCTCCATTTTTCAATTATTAAATTGTTTCAAAAGTTATATTTAGCAGTTTTTCATAACTCTTAATAATGAGAGATGTTTAATTATTTTAAGGTACTTTAGAGGAAGACATGTTGAACATTTTAGCCTGTAAAGTGACATCAATGGAGATTAGATCTCAATGATATCAAAGACCACTTAATTATACAATGATAAACTGAGTTTAATCAAAATCATTGGAGCCGTTTAGTGGATTTTATATGCCAAGCAGGGTTCTTGCATCATAGGCCACGCTTTCCAGCCATCTCGTCCTCAGTTATCCTACCCGTCTTGCAAGGTGCTGCTCCTCAATAATTACTTTTTACTTTCACTTACCTATATATGTAATATAGAAAATGTGTGTGTGTGTATGTGTTTGTTAACAGTCTAGCTCAAAAACGAAAAGTTGTATCAAAGTTAAATTGCATATTTAAGGTTTTTATATGCTAGAGATGTCACAGCAACTTTTTAGTCAAAATCGGCTTACCGGAAGTGTCACTTCATATAATCGACTAAACACATTTTTACAATTTTCTCGAAAACAGCTCTAAAGATTTTGATTAAATTCGCCATATCAGTGTAAAATTAAGCAGTTTTAAATAAAATGTAGATTTTATTCTGATTGATATTCTCTAACATGGCTTAAATGGCTAATTTTCAATATTAGCTTCCCCTAAAATACCTTTGATTTTTTTAATTTGAAAAATTGACCATTTCACATTAATCTCTAATATAAAAGATAGTTAAATATAAAATATGAAAGAATTTGATAGTTAACTAAAAGAGAAATAAGAGATCATAACAATCGTAATAGTTGTAATTGAGGAACCAAAGGAATATGAGTGCTCTCGGGCTTGCCCGAAGGATTAGAACACGCTTTCATATGTAACATGAGCTTTATATACCACCTTAGTCTGACAAGACAACTGAGTTCCCTATTTTTTCTTTTCTTTTCTTCCAGACATCACCTTCCTTTATTGGGCCATAGACCCTTCTGAGGACTCCTCACTCGTACACACTCAATTTAATCTCATCACTTTTTGCCATCCTCCTACCCTCTGAGCCATATGTCAAAACTGGCCATACAAGGGTCTTGTATATAATCAGTTTGGTCTTCTTTGAGAGATACCTACTTCTAATGTGTCAGCCAAGTCTAAAGACACATCCATTGGCGCGATCCTTCTGTTTATTTCTTGAGCCATGCCATTCTTGCTATTTACTTCAGACCCAAGGTATATAAATCTTTTTACTTTCTCAAACTTAAAAGATCTTACCTCAAATGGAGAGTTCAGATCAATCTCACCACCAACTCTCATATGCTTGGTTTACTTCTCGTTGACTTCTAGACCTAGTTGTCTTGCAGCTGCTTCAAGGGCTGTGAACGCTTCTCTGAGAACCTGTTCAGACCTTCTTATAATATCAATATCATCAGCAAAACCAAGAAGCTGTGTCAGGCGATTTAAGAAGCGCTGGTCTGAATACCGGCCTCTCTGCCAAGTTGAAAAATAGGCAGGCAAGGGCACCCCCTTGCCGAACCCCACTGCTCACTTCAAAATCTTCAGAGGCATCAGAACCGATGCGTATTCTACATATTGAGCTGTCCATGATCATCTTGATTAGGCATATGAGCTTCTGAGGGTTGCTTATCTCCTCCAAGGTACAGTATAGTTTGTGTCCTATCAATATTGTCGTATGCTGCTTTAAAGTCCACGAATAAATGGTGGGTTACTACCTTATGCTCCATACTCTTTTCTAGGATCATCCTGAGGGAGAACTGTTGATCAGAAATCCAGCCTGATATTTCCTCAGTTCCTTTTCAGCATACAGGAGGATCCTCTCAAAAAGAATGTTAGAGAGCAGCTTATAAGCATACGAAAGGAGTGATATTCCTCTATTGTTAGTGCATTCTGTTTGATCTCCTTTCTTATGTATTGGGTAGATAATGGCTGTTGCCAATTCCGTAGGCATAGCTTCCCTCTACCAGATGGTCAGCATTAAGCCATGCAGAGCTTTCCTGAATTCTTCACCCCTACATTTCAACAGCTCTGACTGGATTCCATCCGATCCTGACGCCTTTCCATTTTTCAATTTCCTCAGGGCCTTTTCCATTTCGTCCTCATCCAGGGGTTCTATGGAATTCAGTGAGTCTTCCTTCATTACTCCTACAACTCCAGACACTGTTCCTCTGTTTAAAGTGTTTTTGAAGTGTTGGACCCGTCTCTTTAGTACATCATCTTTGTGACTTAAAAGAGTTCCATCCGTATCTTTACAGGCCACCACTCTGGGCCTGAAAGCTGCCCTACCCTCACTTATTCTCTGATAGAACAGCCAACTTTCATTTTGGACACTCAATGCCTCTGTGTCCTCCATGTTCTTTTCCCGCCGAATAATCTTTTCTCTTGTTTTTTTCTTTGATATGTTTCTTATTAGAGACTCGTGGTATAAAAAAATATATGAAAATAAAAATATACCAGTCCATAATAAGAAGCAAAATAGACTATGGAGCACAGATTTATAGTACAGCCAGCAAAACATTACTGAGGATGCTAGATTCTATACATAATTCAGCCCACAGAATATGTACTGGAGCGTTTCGTACATCTCCAATCGACAGCATCTGTACTGAATCTGGAGAAACATCCTTAAACTTGAGACAAGAATATCTATCTCTCAAATACATTGCCAAATTGAAAGCATCTTCCCACCACCCATTAACTACATACTTATTTAGAGAAGAATTAGAAACAAACGGACTTAAAGATATAGAAAATAACATTTTTAAACAAGTAATTTACATGGCAATAACTGAAATAAACATGGATACAAGAATTATAAAACCCATCCCAGAGTTAAAAATCCTCGTTCGAAAAAAGACAGAACCATGATTAATAAATCCATGTCTAAAATTGCAAAAACATATTCAATTGAAATACAAAAATCGTTTTTTAAAACTGACAGAACAGTATACAAATTTCGATTTTATATATATGTATGCATCCAGGGAAGGAGATAGCGTAGGATGTGCTCCAGCCAGTAAAGAGAAAGCACCTACTGTTTAACTTGGGGAATGCTCCGTATTCACAGGAAAGGCGACTGCTATCATGAATGCTTTTTATCTTTTAAGGGAATCTAAAAAGAACTACTGGGTTGTTATGACGGACTCATGCAGTGTTTTAACTACCATCGATAACCCATACCCTAGAAATTCTATAATTAGAGAAATACTTAACACTTGACGGGAGGAAAAAAATAAAGGAATATCAATTGTCTTGGTATAGGTACCAGCTCATAGCAGAATTTTAACAAATGAAAAAGCTGTCCATGCAGCCTATTTAGCAAGAAGTGGAGGAGAAGAGACAGTGACTAGATTGAAATATATTACTTTAGAAGACGGTATATCAAACAAAGATAAAACAACTGGTAGAGTGAGAAAAAAATTGGAAAATCAAAGAGTGTAAGCTGAAATAAGTGAAATCTAATTGCGATAAATGGCTCACTAGTACCAGAATTTCCAGG